CAAATGTAGCAGCAACTGCCAAGATACTCCACATCCTCTTCGGTAAGGTTTGGGACGAAGTAAAAGTACCAACAGACTGGAAAGAAGGACTTCTGATCAAGATACCAAAGAAAGGCGATCTGAGCAAGTGCGACAACTACAGGGGCATCACTCTCCTCTCAATACCAGAAAAAGTCTTCAACAGAGTACACTTTGAGGAAGTCACCTAATTGCGTCACAAGACAAGCCCTCACATGGAATCCTAAAGGTCAAAGGAGAAGAGGAAGACCAAAGAACACATTACGCCGAGAAATAGAGACAGACATGAGAAGAATGAACAAGAACTGGATAGAACTAGAAAAGAAGGCCCAGAACAGAGTGTGTTGGAGAATGGTGTTCGGCGGCCTATGCTCCATTGGGAGTAACAGGCGTAAGTAAGTAAGTAAGTCATTTTGAACTATAAACTCTTGTTATACGATTTAACATTCTTGAGTTTCGACTAGTCTATTTATTACTGCCTTCCACATTCACAGCCACATTTAGCTGAATCTTGTTCAAATATTATTCTCTATTTTATGGTACGATGTGGTCTGTTTGGTTGGTGTATAAACGCAGTATGTTTGAGAATAATGATTCATATTACAGAGGCTGGTATTGGTGTTCTGGACTTAACTGACTGGTCTAGGCAGATAGTAGGGCTGATGTGCACTTTAGGACGCTCGTACGGTTTCCGTGTGTCACTGTCCCAATCGATAATTCGCTGCTCTCTGGTTGGCAGTCTTATCACGTCATACATTAACAAGTCATCTACTCTGCCACAAGATATAACAGACATTATTGTCGAAACAGAGGCCCGTACCTTCGACGAACAGTGGGTAGCAAACTTCGGTTGACTTTCACCTACCACCACAGACTGCAGACGCCATTTCGGATCTGAACTTTCTCGTTGTCTAACCACGCTATTGGGAATCACTCGCTCCTGAACGACCGCCTACAACCCACAAACAGACGAGTTGGTAGAACGTTTTCACCGACAACTAAAGGCTTCGGCGAGACTATAATCTATGTACGACTTTTGAGCGAATCTTAAGTGAGTTTGAGAAATGTCAGCCAATCAGTAAACAGTCAGCAAAGAGTAAAAATATATTATACAAAACCAAATAATTCAAGTGGATACATCCTTTTATATGGTCCAAAAACGTATCAAGGTTAGAAAAACGTTCGGAGATTTTAAAATCGTAATCCATAAGGTAGAAGAACTCATCTATATGGCTCCATGACGTTTGGTCTCTGGGGCCATAATAAGGTCACAAAAGCTCTCTGAACCTCGACCACATAGCTTCATTATTGTTTGTGCCTACTCCGGTTGTGTAATTTTATCACTGAACAGCCGAAGCTTCAGTAACATTTGCGATTTTTGCAGCCAATGATACAGGAGCTTTTATTACACAGTTCGCGGCAGTTATTATAATATGCCTTATTCTCAATCTGGATCGAGCAATAAAAGTTCCTATTCGAACAGAGTTCTTCCTCTAACATATATTACAACGAAGGATAACATCATCAAGGTAGTATGCACAAGATCTACAAGTCAATTGATCACCGCAATTACAAATAAAGTAACTTCATGGTAGTTTCGTTTGTTGTAGCCGCTTAATTGTCAAGTTTTCTCTAAAATTCTCTGTGAACCGATCGTACATGAGCATCAGGCACTGAAGTTGGCGCCGTGACCTTGAAATCCCTCAAACGCTTCTGATTGGCTCGTTCATAAATTATAGTCTCACCAAGACTTCCTTATCAGCTACAAACGTTCCACAGTAGACCAATACTATTACATTTGTCCTACGGGGTATTTGCAATACAGTGAAAGCTGACATTATATACACTGCAGTTTGACTCACAACAGATCATGGTTTAGAACGGCGTGCTCAACATCTCTTGAGATCACTGGCCAGCTTAGATAAGTCACTTCTCGATATGTTGGTAATCTATCGAAAATATCTTTCAACCCCTATTTTCTGACTTTTGATTTCACTGGGTGGGCGTGATTCAATTATAGAAGGTGTTACTGGTAAAGTGTTGTTAAACTACAATACCTATGCTGTCTTCAGTATAGATATTTATCTTACTTATCCCTAGGAAGCTAGGATTTTCAGATGAACTTTTAAATTGTTGAGCTTAAAAACCGACTTAAATGATACAAATGCTCACTGTGATTATATCGTTTGAAATCGAATGTCATATTGAAGTCCGAGTAGTTGTCTATGACTAGTTGTACAATGATATCTTATAAAATAACTACTTTTCAGTGTTGATGGTTCTTTCTCTGATGTTAAGCCATACATGAACCTCGTTTTTTAGAGATTCTAGTTCGAAGTGGATTAACTGAACACACATTCAACTGACTATTTCAGCTTGTTAATGCGGATGTAGGACCAGTGAAATGTCACTGGACCTTAGCCAAATCATCTGGCAGTTGAGTCACTAAATATCAAACGCTTTCGTTCCCTGCATTGTTGAGCAAGACTTCGAATAACGCAACCTATCATTATGATTTTGTGTTGCATTCTATACTTATTATTTTTCATTTTTAACTTCGCCCTTGTTAATCAGTTTCTGTAAACATTCGTTGCTTCATATCCTTGCTGATTAGTATTTCAACTTAAATAATTAGTTCATCCGATAGAACTAACCAATCAACTTCGATTATAATCGGCTATCGTGGTTCTTTAACACTCATTAGCAGCATTTAAATGCTCTTGTGTAATATGTCTGTTAAAATATCAACCACTCGTAAGTATAGCCACAAGACAACACAAACGCATATCTGTTTACAACTTATCCACTTGTGTAAGCGAGACAGAATTAACTGTCGATTATAGATTCATCTTTCTGCCTAATCACTATCAACTAACTTCCATCAGAAACTATCCACCAGAATATTTTACTTACTTGACCACTGTCTGCCTAATTTCCAATTGCTGAGTTCTATGGCGAAACAGATGATACGAATGCTAGAAATTTACAATGAGTTTGAATTATAAATTTCCTGCAATATTCGATCTTGTTTATACTGTTCGTCATGTAATGCTACGTGTTCGGCCTAAATTAATTTTGGACTTATACAAATTCAGGCTACAATGCTGTGATAATCTGAGAATTTAATCGACAATTTCAATTACTTAGGAGCAAGAGTAACAAAGGCGCCTTTCATAATTGCATTAGTTAATTTCGTATGTTGTTTATGTTTAATAACATTTCACGACTACATTCACGTAGAGTAGTCATATATTCTGTCACTGTCGTCAAGTTTTAGTCGAAACCGTGTACATTTATGACTCATAAGTCGACATAATGTGGAAAAACGTATTGCATATACACGAGTAATCTTAGTCCATATCCTAATTACACACTTCATCTTACTTAATATGTCACTTAACGCTAGATAATAAGCTGTTTTACGAAACGATCACGTTATCTAGACCTAAACTCTAGTTACATTGGTGGTTACCATTTTGATTAATGTTTACTATGCGCTTTGTATTTGCTGTTATCTCACACGGTAAATTATGGCTCGATTTCCTTATTGCACGAAAGTCACTTTAATTCCGTCTTCGGCTTATTCACATGCAATACGGGTTTGGAAAATATCTAAACCACCTCTGAAATTCTCCAAGAACCACACGATAGTCTTCGTATATGTTTGCTATCACACATTCAACTCCTACGTTAACAATGCCCGTTGTCAGTATACGAAAGTATGATGTTACTTCGATGTGACGTTATAACACATCTGAACTATTGTAGTTATTCAAATTCGACGTCGTATTTTATCTTATGAAGTATCGTGTCCGCATGGGTGATATCTAACAGATGATTTTGGTACATCAGTCGGCTGTTCAACTACTTGACGATCTAAAACCTGTCCAGTTTAATTGGTGGTTTGAAGACACTATCATTCGCGCGAATCATCAATTAACGCAGTCGAGCGAATCTCCTGCAAACTGGTAACGATATTGTCGTTTCTATCCCAACACTGACAGCATTTTCACTGATATCATTAACACGAGTCCAGAGTGACACTCTTAGTTTCTTATGTTCTTTCCGATATTGTTCAGTTCATTTATCGAACAAACATGCAGTACTCACCGTTTATCATCTTCTAGCTATTTGATCGTGTCACCTTCGCTCTTTCACTCTTGCCGATTGTAACAGAACTCATAGGCTTTTCAAACTGATCAATGGCTTCGCACAACGAAATCACGACTTATCTTCACGGTTATACTTCTGTATTTACAGTGAGTCTGTTAAATATAAGTGAAACTAAAAGTCGACACTTAAGAACAGTTGTCAAGGACACTTACTGACTTTCTACTCTAAATCGAAGGCAGTAAAAACATCGGCATCGGTTGATAATACACTTATCATACTGTCACTGTGACATCACTACTCTTGCGGCGAACTTAACGTTTCTCATCTGAGGAACTCAATCACTTGTCAAAGTTATCTATTTCAACGCGACTTGGTAGAACTTTAAAATGTCATGTTTTTTCTATTCTTTCTATGGTTGATCGCTTAAAATTTAACCAACGTCCCAGTTATGTTTTATTAATTGTTGTTTCCCCATCACTTTCTGCTGCCTCTTTTTTCATTTGTCTTACAGCTCGGAAATACCCGGTGTATTCATATTAATCGACCGGCGGCCTCCGGTGAGCGACTACTCCCAACATGTTTGGTGACGATTGAAACGGCCGTTGAATCTGATTGGGGGAATATTGTAGGTCCAATGAAATGTCAATGACATAAACACGATGTGATGCCGGCTCAGTGGTCTATTACTTAAGTGCTCTGGCACGAGACTGGTAGGTCCTGGATTCGAATCTCCCGAGGCGATGTCGCGGACGCGCATTGCTACTGAGGAGTCTCACATTAAAACGAAACGGCCATCCAGTATTTCCAGGTTCTCCCTGATGGTCTAACTTCAATTGACTCACGCTTACATTTATAAAAACTTTTAATAATTATGTTAATAAACTATCAAATATATTTCATATGAAAATAGACGATCATAATCAATATATAAAACAAAAGCATTTTATATCTTATTCACAAATATCTTTCAAATCTTTTAATCATTAAAAATTATTATTATGATTATACATTCCATTAGTTGTATCTATGATAGTTGTAACATTATTTTTCAATGATACTTTATTATCACAGTAAGAAAAAGTTTCATTTAATTTTGGGGCCAAATTTGAATTTCGCGGTTTCAATGTACAATGAATACATTGATCTTGTTGATTGTTAAACGTATAAGTGTTCTTATTCATTGTATTAGAGTATAACATACTATGATGATAAGTAGGTAATGTGAAATATTGTCCTTGAATTTGATTACTTTTTATATTACACTGACAATAAGTTGAATATTGATCATTGATCATTGAATTTGAAGTTAATTCATTTAAACAAACATTATTTGAATAAATATGATTAAATAAAGGTGTTTGATTGAAGCCTAATGATACATCATCACTGTTAACATTTTTATCATCCCTAAGAACAGTTTCATATCTGAATTTATTATGTAGAACTTTCACTGTACTACTTGTATGGTTACTATAGTATCCTGATAGTGTTTTGGAAGGAAGAGGATATTGTTTTAATTCACAGCAATCATGATCATTATCATTGTTATTTTTCGTTTGAATTAAAGGTTTTATATGTGAACATGTGGAACAATTTGATTTAGATGGGATATTGAAATTATTTAACTGATGTTCACAGTTGTCTAAGTAATAAAACAAAATAAAATAAACACAATGTAAATGTACATCATAAACTGACTTCAGTCGACTATCTATCGACTATCGGATTTTGGCACGAAATTCACTTATCCATTTGGCTAAACAGAGTTTTGGCATTAAAACTGATTCCAGTTCGTGAGGAAAACCGTAAATCTAATTCTTAACCTTAGCCATCAAACGTAGTTCATAATTCTAAATACCTCACACTGGTTTATAACCCTCATTTGATATTAGTTATCAGGTAAACACTCTCAAGGTCACTATAGCGTCAATCAAAGGTCGTCCAAAAATTATAGTCTCACCAAAAACCTTGATTGGGGGCAGAATATTTCAAATAGTTGAGTCTGTTTATGAATTCAAATTAAGAAAGAACAATGATAATACAGTTGTTTTAATTTTATACTCAATAAAGAGAGGAGATCAGTATACTGACACAAAACTACCAGTGTGTATATCAGATGTTAATCCATCGATGATCCATCTATTTAGATCCCTTATTTACTCTATTACCTGTTTCATTCTGTTTATTATGGTAATCTATGTTTAAATAAAATCATAGTGACATAATATATTACATTATCATAAACATTCTCCAGTGTTATTCGTTTCAGTACTCCGTCGTACTTTGAAATAATCTTATATTGCCTCTAATTCACCATTTAAGAACTTTCAACGACTTGCTTTTTGAAATTTCAACATTGACAGTTGACAAACTTGTAGAAGTTGATTAGTTAAGGGAGTGCTAATTCCAAAGTTATAAAACGTTAACTAACTGGTTTTCTGTTTAGCGTTTTTTTAGCGAGTTGTTTTTTTACGGGATGGGGTCACTAACCCCATGCCCAACCCTCCTCCTTTACCCGGGCTTGGGACCGGCAGTAGCCCCCGGAGGAGCTACAGACCAAAGGAGAAGAAGAAGATCAAACAAAACATTATGCCGAGAAATGGAGACAGACATGAGATGAATGAACAAAAACTGAATAGAACTAGAAAGGAAGGCCCAGGACAGAGTGTGTTGAAGAATGCTAGTCAGTAGCCCATGCTCCATTGGGAGTAACAGACGAAAGTAAGTAACTGGTTTTCTACTTCAGAAGTCAAGTGTTTTTTTGACATAAATACTTTCTCCAATAAGGTATAATAATAAGGAATTTCGTAGTTAACGTTAAAAACTGACCTTAGTTTTATAACTAATGAAATCAAGGAATTTCTTGATACCGGTTTGACCGTGATATGGGATTACTCAACAATAAATATCCTCGAACTCATCAGAAATCAAACATGGGATTTGTCGGTCCCACATACAAAGCTTGTCTTTTATATCGTTAGGTCCGGATACAAATTTTCACACATTTAACCCCAATAACTTAGCAACATTACACAATCATTATCCATTACCATTAGTGAGAAAGTGGCAAACGCTGAACATAGGGAGACTTTGTAGTGACCTACATTTCTCAACGAGAACACGATTGGAATAATGGAAACAATTATTATTATAACCAGTTGTAATAGTGATGGTCTTATCGTACTCGCTGTTGTTTAACTGTATCAAAGTCATTTTTCATTCGACCATCCGCCTTGTTTGGTTCGAACTTTTTTACGTTCTGCCCTTATTGCATGTATTCGTTGGCACATCTCGGTGTTCTTTCGATACCACGAGATTGCCAATAAATATACTCTATCTGGACCAGTTATAGTCTTCTGGTTCGCGAGTTGTCAAAAGGACAGAGTCGTTTTTCGGCGCGTAATCTCATTGTAGTGTTAATCATAGTCCATCAAGACTCGACACCATCTACAACTTCATTAGCCTAAGAATCCACAGTGAACAATATTACTTTTCATTTTATTATCCAGTCATACATAAGTTAGTACTTCTAATCGCTGAAAAGTGCAATATGCCATTTTATCAAGATCATTAATCATTAGGATATAATCATGTGTTGATTATTAAATCATTACTTACTTTTAAATTCACAAAGACATTTCTCTTGTAAAGTTGATTGTTGATCATTTAAAATTGGATTACATGTTACGTAATCATTAGATTGATTTAGAGATATCACAGGATCAATCTAAATACCATTAAAATGAAAATGGAAAACAGATTATCAGCTATTCACCATCACCCTATACTTACTTACTTATTTACACCTGTTACCCCTCATGGAGAAGCAAAGGCTGAACATCAGCATTTTCTATTCAACTCTGTTCTACACAGTCCTTTCCAGTTCTTTCTACCTGTTATTCAACCTTTTCATATCTGCTTCTATTTTACGGCGTTATGTGTTCTTTGGCCTTCCTTCTTTTCTGCTTCCCTTCCAGATTCCAAGTTAGGGATTGCCTCGTGATGCAGTTTGATAATTTCCTCTATGTATGTCCTATCCGCTTCCAACGTCTTTTCCTAATTTCCTCTTCAGCTGGAAGCTGGTTTGTTCTCTCCAATAAAATGCTGTTGCTGATATGAACCGGCCAATGGATGTTGAGTATTTTGCGTAGACAACTGTTTATGAATATGTGTACCTTCTTGACGATGAAGATATTTCAATCAATTAATTTATAAAATGAATAGAGTATCTCCATATTCATATCATATTTAACATTGATATTTATTATCTCATTTCAGAATTAATCTTTCCTATCTTTCCTAGTTCATCTTATCCTGTCAGTAATGTTTTCAGATAATCTCACTTCAAATGAATAATTCAGTATTAACAAATATACATAAATAATCAGGTTATTTGAAAACTAATCAAAATAATTTTATATGGCTGAGACCATGAGTAAATTGAACCTAGACCAGCACAGAAAATCTAAAAGCACTGGACGGCCGTTTCGTTCTATTGTGGGACTCCACAGCAGTGTGCATCCACGATCTCGCCTCACGAGATTCGAACCCAGAACCCAGCAGTCTCGAGCCGTCCAGTGCTTCCAGGTATTCTATGCTGGTCTAGCTTTAATTGACTCATGATCTCAACTATATAAAGTTACTAAAATCTCTACAAAACCCCCTTCTGAGAATTAAAAATGTTTTTTATATAACTGGATTAAACTGCTATGAAGAAGCTGCAAATTTCATTATCTTCTTAATTGACACTTGCTACTTTGTGCTGAAACTAAAGACATGTAGTGCAATGCTTCTCCAATCTTTCACCTCGATAACCGTTATAATGCATATCTTAACGGTGCATGAAATCAGAAGGCTAGTGAGAGGTCGATAGATATAAGTAGTATATATCACTAATCGAAAATGAAATGTCTAGTGTCAGAAGGTTAAGAAAATCGATAAGCAGAAAATGATAACATTGAATTCTGAGATAGTTGATTGACATTTTGAAAATGAAGTATTGACTGTATAATTCTCAGATTTTTTGTAAGAGATTCTGTAGTGTTATATTCAAATAGATACGATTACCCTCGCCTATATTCTTGTTCATCACAAATGAACATTTTAAGAAGCTTTCTACAAAGCCATCCGTTCCTATAGTGATGTATGTAAATCTTGTTGTTAGGTCCTGATGTAAACATATATAATGTTTACCATAATTGGTTTGATTTGCCAATTGAGAAAATTTATATTTCTTAATTAATCATTTCATCTATAATGCAGTTGATATTATAAATTACTATGTTTTGTTTTTTTAACTACTTAAATTTAATTAAGTAGTTTAAATGTTTTCACTAAAATACCTACCAAATATGGTTGATGAAATGACTGATTAATTTTTTTATTATTAATAACATCAAAATAATCATCATCAATGAGTGAATTTTGTATAACTTCTGATAAATCCACTGCTGTATAGTATCCAACCGGTTTTTGATTGTATCTGTTTAAAAAAGAATTGAAAGAAAAGATATGTATGATATTCTTCTTCTAACATATATTTTATATAGAGTTGAGATCATGAGTCAATTGAAGCTAGACTACCATGGAAAACCTGGAAGCACTGGACGGCCGTTTCGTCCTATTATGGGACTCCTCAGCAGTGCGCGTCCACGAACCCACTCTCGCGTGATTCGAACCCAGGACCTACCAGTTTCGAGCCGAAGCCCTTAACCGATAGACCACTGAGCTGGCATCCAACGGTGTGACTGACTCCTTGAGGTATTTCCTGGAGTTCTAGTGAGAAGCAGTAACCGGTGGAGTTCAACCAGGTCTGTTGTGAGATAGGAACTCACTGATGACATTGGTGAATGGTTGCTCAATTTCGTGAATCAGTTGAAGTTAGAAATTAACACCGTTGGATGCCAGCTCAGTGGTCTATCGGTTAAGGGCTTCGGCTCGAAACTGGTAGGTCCTGGGTTCGAATCCCGCGAGAGTGGGTTCGTGGACGCGCACTGCTGAGGAGTCCCACAATAGGACGAAACGGCCTTTCAGTGCTTCCAGGTTTTCCTAGTGGTCTAGCTTCAATCGACTCACGCTTTGAACTGTGAAAATACTAAATTTCTACAAAAACCCCTTTCTCATAATACATTTTATAGATTACCCAACGTGAAACAAGTACTATGAATTAAGTTGTACTTCACAGTGAAGAGGACTTACTATTCATCTATTAAGAATCAAATCATAAATTATTACACCTTTTGAAGAACGAATCAACATTACACACTACTACTATTACTCACGCCTGTTACCCCTCATGGAGGAGAACAGGCCCATCACCAGCATTCTCCAACCAACTCTGTCCTAGGCAATCCTTTCCAGTTCCTTCCAATTGTTATTCATTCTTTTCATATCTGCTTTTGTTTACCGGCGTAGTGTGTTCTTTGGTCTTCCTCTTTTCCAAGTTAGGACTTGCTTCGTAATGCATATCGTTGATTTCCTCAATGTATGTCCTATTAACTTCCAACGTCTTTTCCTAATTTCCTGTTCATTTGGAAGCTGGTTTGTCCTCTCCCACAAAACCTTCTTCTACAAACACTAATTTGTTATTCATAGAATTTCTGAGTCTCGATTGTCACTTATTGACTGTGAACAGTAACTCTGAAAGACAATTTACATGCAACTAATAATTTCTGAATATGATGAAATAGGATATCCAGACTAAATTGCTATTGATAATTGAATTTCTCAAAAATTTTTAACAAAAGACTCATACTATAGTTTTATAAGCAAATATGGATAATGGCTTGCATTGGAATCCAAGATACGTGTTTCGTCCCAGTTGAGACTCGTCAGCTAGATTTACCTGCGTCTAAGAGTTGATCTTCACTCTGACACTTTAACAAAGTGCCATTCATTTCAAACGTCATCATGTTATCCACTTAGCTACTGAATCCTGATAGCCATTTGCTTTTTGTAATGTAGTGAAGTTCAAATTCACTTACTATCCATCTATACTTATGAAGCTTGTAACCCTAAACCTTAACTTTAGTACATATGCCAACACAAGACTGATTAATTGTTGTCCTAAACAACAATGGAAAGATACAAGCAAACAATACCAAATGAGCACACACTATAGTTGTTGAATCAAACTCAATTCATGTTATAAACTGCAAACTCTGAACATACACTGAAATCTCCCCCCTCCCTCAAAAAAAACAAAAAAATCTTTATATTTTCTTATTAGAAACTAACATTACCTTCTGTCATTTTTATGATACGGTTTTCTATTCAATGTAAATTTACATTTAATACATAAATAATGATGTAACCATTCAAAGTATTGACACTGTTTATGAGTATAATATAAACTAATACTGAATAGAAGAATAATCAGTAGTATAATGAAACAACTGACAATGATAATAATGAATTGATTCATGGATAATGTATCTAAAATTGAAGAAAAACAAAAACAGGTCAGAATTGAATACATAGAAAGTATAAAACGATTGATAATTTAAGTGAACCATGTCCACCAACCCGGTTAAAGTGCTGAACATTCGCTTTTCGTCCTCTCAGTTTTATAAACAACACCCCCCGCAACGAGAAGGCAATGAGTAGGACTTCCCCCCACATAGGCTATATACACGTGACCATATGAGAGCATTTTGAGATAGAGAGAGAGCTGACTCTCCCCACTTTCGGCCGTTTCGGGGCAGGTTAACGATGTTAGTGTCCCAATTTCATGGATCGGTTAATGTGAGACATTAACACCGTTGGATGCCGGTCAGCTCAGTGATCTAAAAGTTAGGCGCTTGTGCGCTAAACCGATAGGTCCTGGGTTCGAATCTCGTGAGGCAAGATCGTGGATGCGCACTGCCAATGGGGAGTTCCACAATAGGATTAAACGGCTGTCCAGTGATTCTAGGTTTTCCATGGTGATGTAGCTTCAATTGACCCATCATCTCAACTATTAAAATAATTCTGTTTGTTTAATTGTTAGATTTATGAGTTATATTTTCTTGTTCACATCATTATACTAGTTAGATATTTATATAAGATGAGAAAACATTGAATAATGGTCTCATTTTTATATGTAACTCCTCAACCATGATCTCATCAGAGATCGAATCTAAGGACCAAATCTAAGGATCAAATGTTGTGAACTTTATCTTTAGACCGTTGAGTCTTTATCAAATAATTACATTTTTAACTATTATCATTTAACAATAAAGAGCAATTATTTTCAAAACTAACTATTGATTAGCTGCACACACATCTATGAACCGAAAAATGGTGATATCTAGTTTTTTTGTGGAGAGTTTAACAACTGAATCCATCATTTAGTGCAGACATGATGGAATTCAAAGCCAAGAGAAAACCTACTATTTCTTATAACTTTTTTCCTAATTGATTTGAGTTCATAAATGATCAAGATGTTACCAGGCATTAACAAATTGCATAGATGATTGATGAAATATTACCACAAAGGATAAAGAGCTAGTTGATGCTCAGGCAAAGAATGTTTTTGTTGCCTGAGGGCATATTATTTGATAACGTTGAAATAACTACGATAAGTTTTCAATCATTTCTTTATTGATACCAATTATATTTAAACAACTAGGTACTAAAATTTCATTCATCATCATCTTTCTCTGAACGTTTTTCGAGACAGTGTATTGATTAATGCTTTCGGCTATAGTGATAAGCATTGCTAGTTTTCGGATGGACAGTTTAACCTATGAGATTTACACCTTTAAAAGTACGGTGTAATCACAATTTAAAACAACTAAACACAACGAGTCAGAGAGAGGCTTACTTAATTAGACTGAACCACTTCATACAATCATATATCGGGTATGATAATTAATTAATTGAGTGAAGTAACTGACAATAACCAAGGAATGGTTGACCACAAACATGAATGCTTTAGTCAGTCCAAGGGATCAGTCCATGGTGTCGCTGACTGTCAGTCTGCTGGTTATTGATAGATAAAAATTTTATGGTTTGAGTCTGTGTGATTACGTGAACAATAGTCCAGGAAGTTGTGTGAAGTAGCTCGCACAGAGATTACAATAATTCATAGTCATTTACCGCTTGTCTACTGCTGCATCATAAGTTTCAAGATTATCTTAGATCACTGATTTAGAGAGGTTATTCTTTTTTCTCGATTAGTTTCTTCAATGAGTAAACTTTATTTAGTACACCTGATACTACTATAAATATTTCAGTATTCATCTTCATAACTTCTATCACCTGTATTGATAAATCGTTTCAACGTGGATACATGTATGCTACATCCTACATTACTGTTGGCTGATTGACTTTTACTTCACTACGTACTTACGCCTGTTACTCCCAATGGAGCATAGGCCGCCGACCAGCTTTCTCCAACCCACTCTGTCCTGGGCCTTCTTTTCTAGTTCTATCCAGTTTTTGTTCATTCTTCTCATGTCTGTCTCTATTTCTCGGCGTAATGTGTTCTTTGGTCTTCCCTTCTCCTTTGACCTTCACATGGACAGCCGTTAGCGTTTTAAAAACGCTAACCAGAAAAACGCTAACGGCTGATTGACTAGAACCTAATAAATAACAGGGAGAAAAGACCGACTGCTATGAAATCACCGGGGATCTAGTTAACTTGATCAGTACTAAAGTGAAAAGAAGATTTGCTGACATTTTCAAATGAAATATTTTGCAGCTTGAAAATAGATTATTTTCTCTCGAAATAATTATGTATCTTAACGCGATTGCTTAAATAAATTAGAAAATTTTCAAACTAACACATCAAAATACAGTTCATGAAGTCTATGAAACGTTTCCAAAAGCATTAACAGTCAGCATAGTATATAATTTGTACTAATATTTCAAGAAGACTCATGTTATATCAAGGAATATATACTTTTTCTAGTCTTCAGGACATATTCAACACCATAATCTTTGCTAATTAAAATGATCTACTTAAATAATTGAAAGTAGTTAAATGTTATTAACAAAATAAATAATGAAGTGTTTTGCACAAGATAAACAACTTACGGTTTAAATATAAATTTATCTCATATGAACTTGATCCCATTAAATTTGTAAATGAACATTGATAAATTCCTTCATCATTTAGATCTAAATTATTGATCTTCAAAGTTATAATCCATCCAAATGCATACTTTCTATGAATGATTTTATATTTAGGCACAAAATGATGAGTAAGGGAAATAGGGAATTTGGAATCTTCTATTGTTGAATTCATTGGTGATATATTATTACCATATGAATCTTCTATTTCAATATATTCGCCATTATGTAACCATATTGGATAAGTAAAATTTGGTTCGGGATAACTGACAACATTACAAATAAGATGAATTGATTTGCCTAGAATTCCATTAACATGTGAATGACTATGTACAAATGGTTTTTCTGTAGAATAAACAGAATAATTTCATATAAAACATAAAGAAAAGGTGGTTAGTTATTAAGAAAGAAAGAAATTATATGGAAATATTTCATATGTTTCATAAATAAACAAATAAATATTCACAAGGGGGTTTTGTGAATTTTTCAGACGATGAGTCAATTGAAGCTAGACCACCGTGACCAGTGGAGCTAACCCATGTCAGGTAGAGACAGGTATCGACCTCAATACAATGGAAGTTGGTCGCGCGATCTCGTGGATTGGTCGCGGTTGGACATTAAAACCGCTGGGTACCGGCTTGGTGGTCTATCAGTTAAGTGCCCTGACGCGAGACTGGTAGGTCCTGGGTTCGAATCTCGCTAGGCGAGGTCGTGGATGCGCACTGCCGAGGAGTTCCAAACTAGGATGAAAGGGCCTTGCAGTTCTCCCAGGTTTTCGATGCTGGTCTAGCTTCAATCAACTCATGATCTTAACTATATAAAATAAATTTTCAATACCTTGTTTCTTGGTAACATTGATAATTTATCAGAACGGGTTTTTTGTGGAGATTTAATATTTTCATACCTGAAGGCGTTAGTCAATTGAAGCTAGACCACCAGGGAAAACCTGAAAGCACTGGACGGCCGTTTCATTCTATTGTGGGACTCCACGGTAGTAGTGGGCATCCACGACCTCGCCTCACGAGATTCGAACCCAGGACCTAGCAGTCTTGCGCCACCATCGGATGCCGGCTCAGTGGTCCATCGGTTAATTGATAATTTAATTTTACAATAATTTTCTAGTGTAGTAAAATTATTTTGATTGTGAATATGAATTTTTCGACTGTTGAAAAACTGAGAGCACTGGACAACTGTTTTGTCCCAATATATAGCTCATCAGCAATGTATATCCATGATTATTAACCGAAGGGATTCAAATCAAGGACATTTAGTTTCACGTGTGAATACGTAGACTGTAGAACATTGAGTCAGTATGCAGTCAACGGTTTTTATGTTTAACTTAAACTACCAAAGACTAATCTCTGTTACTGACGTTTAGCAGTCAAAGAAGGAATCACTATTCACTTTCCACAATTAGTTTAGTGACTGGTGATAATACAGTTTCATTAAGCTAATGGAATCCATGTAGAAGATGTGGAGTGAAATTTATCAACATCTGAAGAGATTTAATATATATATTAGATTGATCCATAGGTGATCAATCCAAATGTAAGTGTGTATGTGTTCGTGTACCCTTATAAAAAGAGAAGTTAGTAAACTATCAACATTTGAAAGTATAAAGTGATGTAGATGATAAATTTTATTATCAGAAAAGGTTTTTGTTGTGAAGATTTAGTATTTTTATAGTTGAAAGCGTGAGTCAACTAAAGCTAGACCACCATGGAAAACCAAGAAGCACTAGACGGGCGTTTCCTCCTATTGTAAGACTCCTCAAAGGTAGTGCGCATCCATGATCTTGTCTCGCAAGATTCGAACCCAGGACCTATCAGTCTCGCGCCAGAGCACTTAACCGATAGACCACTGAGGTCGTGGATGGGCACTGTTACTGAGGAGTCCCACAGTGGGATGAAACGGCTTTCAGTGCTACCAGGTTTCCTCTGATGGTCTAGCTTCAATTGATTCACGTTTTCAACTATGAAAATACTAAATCTCTACAAAACCCCTTCTGATAATTATGTTATTCTCATGAGTATAGAAACATTATTTGCCTGTCTAACAGGGTCAAATAGAATTAGTTAGTCAGTTAATAAATGACTGTTGTGTATTATTCAACTAAACTGGATTAATGTGTACAAATAAATCTATATTTTTGTTATTTATAATTCGATGTGTTGAATGGATGCAATGACATTCAGTCGATTATTAGTCTACACTCAATGACATACCCAATCTATTACATAGACCATACCAATTTGCATACTTTATTACAATAGAGAATATGATGAGATTAAGGTCAAATCTATTAGATAAACTTATTAACTCACTTCTCAAATATCAGAACATAATAGTTTGCCTTAAGGAATAAGGAATGTAAATTCACTTAGTATTGTTTGTTTGAATCTTCCCATCGATGTGTTAGGACTGCAACTGGTCAGTCTCTAATTGGCATATGTGCATACTGTGCGTATTGTCTCGATATAGCCTTGATTCACAAGCATGATAAGCAAAGATGGATAGTGGCTAGCAGTGGAATCCAGGACACGCGTTTCGTCCTATTCGGGGCTCGTCAGCTGGATGTACCTGCCACATCTCAGAGTTGATGTTCACTCTGGAACTCGAACCCAGTATCCTCGCTTGTGAATCAAGGCTATATCGAGGCAATACGCACAGTATGCACATATGCCAATTAGAGACTGACCAGTTGCAGTCCTAATACATCGATGGGAAGATTCAAACAAACAATACTAAGTGAATTTAAACTTCACCCCATCGCACAAGCAAGTGGTTATCGGGACTCAGTGGCCGAGTGGATAACGCGATGGCGTTTGAAGCGAGGGTACCGAGTTCGAGTCCCAGGGTGGACATCAATTTCGAGATGCAGGTACATCCAGCTGACGAGTCCCAAATAGGACGAAACGCGTGTCCTGGATTCGACTGCTAGCCACTATCCATCTTTGCTTATCATGAATAAGGAATGTGTTAAATTTTATCAACAGGTCACCATCCAGCCACATTAAACATTATGAACATGAACCCTATCAAGTGATACATACACATACATATACGAGTTTTCGGCATGGATAAAGGATGAGGTGTGGAAATTCCTTGAAGATACGTTTTTTAGCAGTTATTAACAACACTTATCAAATGAATAGGACTGAAGTTCTCATAATTAAAAAGTTATTGTATTACTGACTTTATTGTTGCTGAGATCCAATGAGAAGTCCCAAAGTAGGACGAAACGGCCATCCAGTGCTTCCAGGTTTTCCTTAATGGTCTAGATTCAATTGACTCAAGCTTCCAACTATGAATCATTCTTTACCTATTCAGTTAGTTACTACTGATTAAAATCTCACCTGAATCATCAATACTCTATAAATTGTCAAAAAAACTTCGCCTGTTTGTGTTAGCTAATGTAGGGCAAGTGAAATGTCAATGAACCGTAGCCAAATCATCTGGCATCTGGGTAACTAAATATCGAAAAGATCATCGACCCCATCAAAGTCAAGGACAATCAACGCGCATCAATTAATCATACGCCATGGACTGGCCCATGCGGCAATGGTTCTACTTTCGCTTGTATCTACTTCAACTAACACATTTCAGTAATAATGTCCTTTGTGTTGTACAGTTTCCAGAGCATCCATGGTCCCTTGATACGTTGATGGGGCAATACACGTAAGGTGCTGATCGCGAAGTATGACTTTGAAGTTAGCTTGTTGGTTACACCGTTCCCGCCTAAGTCGAGTAGGCCTCCAATCATTTGACATAGATCGTCAACGATGATGTTCTACACTAATTTAAAGCAACCATCCAAAATCTCTTATTAATTATTTTGTAATCATTTTCCTTATAAAAAATACAAATGACTTAGGTGTCATGTTGATGTGTTCAGTGTCAGTTTACTATGATTGTCTTCCTTCCAAATGATCTTGACAACTCGAATAAATAACCAAACTCTGTTACCATTCATTTTCTTTTTTGGTATTTTTTTGTTGTAATTCACCATATTTACTAATGGACATGATTGTTATCTAAAAACTTCCTAATTGAATCTGTCGGGTAGCATAATTTCTCTCAAAATCACAGGTACACTTTCTTGACGAGTGCCCAATAACACAAAACCTAGGTTCAGGGTTTCCTGTTTACTACCTCCAACAACTATTATATCTCAACGTACTGCATGCAATGTCGAGTCACCTAAACTAGTGACCATATTGCAGCTTGGTCAATAGGATTCAATCTACACTAAGAAGGACCTGACATACATGACATTGATCATCACCCAATGATCAATCAATTGTAGAAATCACTTCATTGAAACTAATTTACTTTAAACTTATAAATTTGTCAAAAATGCATTTTAAACTAGATTTGCTATGAATCAGTTTTGAATAAATATGCCTAAAAGAAATATACAAAAGATCTAATTATGCTTTGTAAATTTTTTAAATTTTAATTTGTATGTTTTATCGGTAGGAGGTTTTGTGGAGATTTTAGTATTTTTGTAACTGAAATCATGAGTCCATTGAAACTAGACCACCATGGAAAACCTGAGAGCACTGGAAATGCCGTTTCATCCTATTAAGGGACTCTTCTACAGTGCGCATCCACGATCTCGCCTCACGAGATTCCAACCCAGGACCTACCAGTCTTGTGCTAGAACACTTAACCGATAGACCATTGAGTCGGCATCCTATTGTGGTAATGTCTAACATCAACCAATCCACGAAATTGGGCAACCATTTACCAATGTCTTCAGTCAGTTGATATCTCTCAACAGACCTGGTTGAACTCCACTGGTTACTGCTTCTCACTGAAACTCCAGGAAGTACCTCATGGAGCCAGAGACTGGTAGGTCCTGGGTTCGAATCTCGCAAGGCGGGATCATGGATGCTCACTGCCACTGAGGAGTCTTACAATAAGACGAAGCAGACTTCCAGTGCTTCCAAATTTTCGATGGTGGTGTAGCTTTAATTGACTCATGATATCATATGTTTTAGTTATTTGAACCTTCCCATTAATGTTTATTACTATGATTGATCATTTCTTTACGACATATGTGTATCCTGTCCAAATTGCCAATATCAAGGCACAAAATATTGGTTATCTGGATTCAATGGCTAAGTAGATAAATAGATAAAAGCACCGGAAACAAATATCAATATGAAAGATACATTCAGCTGATGAGTTGGAAATAAGAAGAACTACGAGTCATGGATTCCACTGCTAACCTTCATTCATCTCTACTTATAATGCTTATGATTTAAGGCAATATCTAGACAGAAGGGGGTTTTTGTGGAGATTAAGTATTTTCATAGTTGAAAGCGTTAGTCTATTGAAGCTAGAATACCAGGGAAAACCGGAAGCACTGGACGGTAATTTCGTCCTATTGACTAACGCTTTCAACTATCAAAATACTAAATGACCACAAAAACAGCTTTCTGATAATAATAATCATAATCATATGCTCACTACTGACTGACTTCGATAGGTAAATCCAGGAGTTCTAGTGAGAAGCAGTTGACCAGTGGAGTTCAAACCACGTCTGTTGTGAGATACCAACTCACTGAAAACTACTGATAAACGGTTGCTCAAGTTAGTGGATTGGTTGAGGTTAGACATTAACACCAACGAATATCGGCTCAGTAGTCTATCGGTAAAGTGCTCTGGAGCGAGACTGGTAGGTCCTGTGTTCGAATCTCGTGAGGCGGAATCGTGGACGCACACACACCAGAACGACGCGGCCATGCAGTGCTTACAGGTTTTAGATGGTGGTCTAGCTTCAATTGACTCACGCTTTCAACTATGAAAATATCTAGACAGTTTGTACAGGATCCATATATGCCAATATGAGACTGATTAAACAATAATTGAGATGATACAAGCAAACTTGATTTTAAAAATCCACATACTCATACCTGCTTGAATAATAAATCTATTTGCTGATTGACTATCAAATCCTAATGAACTAGCTATACATGTAAATTTCCATAAATGAATTTGAAAATTAACATCGTCCAATTTGATTGGATCATCTGTAGGGAGATAGTTCCCATGATTATTGAAAACTTCTTTATCCATAATCCATAAATTTTTCGAATTAACTGTGATCACCTCCAATGAAAATTGAAGTTGATCTAATGTAAGTTGTAAATTTGAACCATTTGTTAAATAAATTTGTGTATTATTTGATTTCCATGTGTACCATTGAATTTGACCAGATGGATTAAAATCTGTTTGACACTAATATGGAAATGAAAGAAGAAAAAAATGAATTTATAGGTTAGAAAGGGTCAACCCTGAAAGAACACATCTCATCTTATCCCGTAGATATCTGTCTTCAGCGGTAAATACCGAGCTAACACGAAAACGACTCACAAAATGGTCATGTGTGACCAACTTCAAGCAGATGTCTCTTCGGCACTACAGTCACGCTCTCAGGTCATTAGGACCAACCCTAATACAATTTCCTTTTCAGGTACCTCCAGAAGAACCTTTCCACGATGTGGGCAACCGGGAAGTGATAACCGCCATCATATCTCTAATAGCACTACAGATCACTAGGTAACATTATCATGGTTTGATTTGATAATGTCAAATAAATTAAGCATCAAGTGAGATTATAATCAGGAAGGGGTTTTGTGTAGATTGTAGTAATTTAATAATTGAATTCATGAGTCAATTGAAGCTAGACTATCATGCAACATCTGGAAGCACTGGACACGTTTTCGATTAAGTCTTCAGACAGATTTTCAACATGTGCCATAAACACATCTGCCATTATTAGCAGATGTGTGTCACTTCATAAGAGATATGTGGATGATTTCTTAGTTATCTGTGAAAGAAAGGATAATATGAACTACTTATTGAATAAACTTAACACTATTCAAAATCACATCAGTCTCTCATGCAAAGAGGAGAAGAGTGACCAACTTCCCTTCCTAGATATAGTTCTAAGCAGACGAGAAGAAGACTTAATCAAACGATTCATTTATGGAAAACCGTCGTGGATGAGTCAATACCTTAGTTACTACAGTTATTGCCCTGTGCAATACAAACGGGATTTGGTAAGGTGCCTATTTGACAGGTTTCATCATATTAGCACAAACGACGCTATTGATGATGACGTTAAAAATGTTGTTAAAAAAGACATTAATGGGGAATAGTTATCCACTTAAATTTGTCAATAGATGGAAAGTTCATGGCACAGTGAGATCTAATGTAGCCATGGTGGAGAAAAAGCCTGTCTTCATCACCTTACCATTAAGAGGTCATTCAAGTAACCTTTTATTGAAACAAACGCTTAAATCAACCATCAACAAAACGTATTGTGCAGCGAAGGTCATTATCAAAGAAAGAACGATGTCCATGCCTAATTCTAAACCTAAAAGATATGAAAGTGATTGCGTCACATCCCACTGCGTTTACCAATTCAAACGTGTGTGTGATCACACATACATAGGGAGGAGCAATCGTGATCTGAAAATTAGGGTGGGTGGATATGTACCCAAACGGTTGCAAAAACAAACAGAATCAAATGACCCAATAAGAGTAGATGATAAACATCCATCTTCCTCTATAGCCAAACCCATCATCGAAACAGGCCATAAGATTGATCTTAATTTGGCTTTTGTGGTGTTGTATAAAAGTGTAAAAAGGGCATATACTAAAGTTTATTGAAGCCTTAACCATATGAAAATTCAAACCCCCTTTGTGTATTCAAAAACATCCTTGTCTACTCTTACCCCCCCCATTTCCAGTCTAGTTGACCTATATTTTTTTATATAAATGGAACAGTGGACTTCATGGACGTGTGATGATGGGTTATAAGCACAAAACAAATGAAACATCGCTTAGCATGGATGAAAATACGGCAGACTTTGTAAATGCCTGTAGCGTCAACAGCCCTGAACAAGTCCATCGAAATTACGACCTTAGTGACAGAAGGGGGCGCAAGTGACTCTTCAGTAGTTGACATGCAGTCCTATTGTGGCACTCCTCAGTGACAGTGCGCATCCACGATCCGGCCTCGCGAGATTCGAAATCAGGACCAAGACCACTAAGCTGACCGGCATCCGAAGGTGTTAATGCCTAACTTCAACCGATCCACGAAATTGAGCAACACATTCATCATTGTCTTCAGGGAATTACTTTCTCACAACAGACCTGGTTGAACTCCACTGGTCACTGCTTCCCACTAGAACTCAAGGAAATACTACTTTGAGCCAGTTACTTGGGAGCATATGGTTATTATCATAAAGTGTTTGTGTGAAGATTTTGTTAATTTTATAGTTGAAATCATGAGTCAATTGAAACTAGACTACCACCAACTGCAACAAACACTATATTGGACAAAGCGGACGCCCCCTGCATCTTCGCCTACATGAACACCAATTAGCAGTCAAACGCCACGACATTTCTTCACTCATATCAATACACGTGGACAACTACGGACATACATTCGACTGGGAAAATGTGCAGATTTTGGACAGAGGCAATTCCAAAAATACCAGAGAATTTTTAGAAGCTTGGCACTCAGGTCAATCTGCAATAAACAAACATATTGAAATCAATCCAATCTATCAACCAATCAAGAAAATTATGCAGGAACATAGGAACAAAAATCAAAACAATAGGAGAGACAATCAAAACAAAGAAATAAACAATGACAGATTTAAGGTCAATAAGAACCAATCAACATCGAGGTGCAGAGGACAAGCTGTGAATCACATGTGGAGAAATTCAAACACTTCACTTCTACCCGAAGTTTGTGCTGATGATGTCGTTCAGAAGGACGATGAAAGCTCCACGACCAAACCATCCAGCTCAGAGAACAAACCAACATAAAAACTAGACCACCACTGAAAACCTTGGAAGCACTTGACGGTTGTTTCATCCTATTCAAAAACTTCTGAGTAGTACTCAACGGCGGTGCGCATCTAGAAGCACCTAAATGAAACAACGCTGATATTTACATCCGGAAAATTAATAAAACATGTTGAACAACCATTCGAATAACTTTTCAATGTGATAGGAAAATTGTATCTTTTCATTAACCTCTTTAACTTAGCTTATATTTTTTATACAATAAACAATAGCTAGTGATTAAAATCTTATGTATTTCCTAAAATATTAAATTAACAGCCCTTTTCAACTGAACTAAGCGTTAGTTGTCCTTGACTTTGACATGGATCGATGATTTGTTCAATATTCAATTATCCAACAGCCGAATGATTTGGCTAGGGCTCAGTGACAATTCACTGTCCCTACAAATGATTTCACTTTTACCAAAAACTATAAACACCTGAGAGTTTTTTACTATATTCGACACTGTTTGGAATATCATTCCTTCTCATTTATGACTTGCAAGGTTTCAGCGTTCTAGTGTTCAAGTTGCAATCAATATATCAAGAATCTAAGCTCTAGATATAACAGTGACAAATTAAAACACATTAGCTAATGTTTTCTTTAAACCATATTTTCTATTAAACCATTTTTAAAAAATGGCACCGGAATTAGTAATTTTACCACTGAACACCGAACCAGTAATTGTAGGGATTAAGAGTTCGTTACACGACTCATTGGTTCAAGTTTCAGTCATTGATATGTCCACAGGTGATCATCTATGAAGAAACAGCCTTTCAATGCTATTTCATCTGAAATTATTCCTTGGCAATACACTTACTTACTTACTTACGTCTGTTACTCCCAATGGAGCATAAGCCGCCGACCAGCATTCTCCAACCCACTCTGTCCTGAGCTTTCCTTTCTAGTTCCATCCAATTGTTGTTCATTCTTCTCATGTCTGTTTCAATTTCTCGGCGTAATGTGTTCTTTGGTCTTCCTCTTCTCCTTTGGCTTTCAGAATTCCATGTGAGAGTTTGTTTTGTGACACAGTTGGACGATTTCCTCAATGTGTATCCTATCCACTTCCAACTCTTCTTCCTGATTTCTTCCTCCACTGGCATCTGGTTCGTTCTCTCCCACAGTAGGTTGTTGCTGATAGTTTCTATCCAACGAATCGGAAGTATCTTGCGTAGACAACTGTTATTGAACACCTGTAACTTCTGGATGGTGGCCTTCGTAGTTCACCAAGTTTCCATCTCATACAGTAGAACTGTCTTCACATTTGTATTGAAAATTCTGATCTTGGTGTTGATTGACAATTGTTTTGAGTTCCAGAACTTGACAATACAACTCATAAATAAAATTAATCAACGCAAAATCATTTCAACTAAAATAATATTTCCTTGAGTTCTAGTGGGAAGCAGTGACCAGTAGAGTTCTACCAAGTCTGTTATAGAGATATCAACTCACTGAAGACAATTAGTGAACGGTTGCTCAAAATCGTGGATTGGTTGAAGTTAGACATTAACACCGTTGGATGTTGGCTCAGTGGTCTATCGGTTAAGTGCTCCGGCGCGATACTGGTAGGTACGAGTGCGGGATCGTGATTGCACACTGCTCAGGATTCCCTTAATAGGACGAAACGGCCCTGCAGTGCTTTCAGGTTTTCGATGGTGGTTTAGCTTCAATTGACTCATAATTTCAAGTATGAAAATACTAAATTCTCCACAAAACCCATTCTGATCTACAAGGTAATATTGACAAGAAACCTTTAATTTTCTATTCTCCACTTACCTGTAATGTTATCTCTTGTGTTATATACAACTTATCTGTAGATTTTGTCCAACAAAGCATTTTCAATTTCTTACCAAATATTGCACAAGGATACAGTATATAAAATTGATTCTCACGATTATTTATATGTGGTCCATCTATAAAAGAAGATTAAAATTCAAAAACAATTGAAATCATGAATCAATTGAAGTTAGACCACCATGGAAACCTGGAAGCACTAGACAGCCATTTCGTTCTATTTTGGGACTCCTCAGCAGTGCGCATTCACGATCTCGCTTCGCTAGATTCGAACCCAGGACCTACCAGTCTCGTGCCAGAGCACTTAACTGAAATCTCCACAAAGCCCCTTCTGAGCAAAAACAATTCTTTATCTATAAATAGTTTATATCATTCAATTAATTATTGTGTAAACTACTGTTGTATTGGATCATATACTGAAGAAAAGGCATCATTTAAAACTTGTACGAACTAAGGGGATTAATGATAGTTGAGAGGATTATATATCGGCTAATCAACAGAGATGTCAGATTATCTCGTTAGTGATCATGGTCAGCCATATTTGGTCAAAAATTACATAGTTATTCCGTAGAGAAATTAAAATGCTTCAGTTAGGAATCTATCGATATTTCTCCAAAAAACTGTTACATCTCTTGGCCTATCAAATATCAAGTGATAAAATCGCTAATCAGAATGCAGACTCCTATGACCTTGTCACCTCGCTAAACCGATGATGAGTCGAAAAGCACTAGTATCCGTGAGTCAACTTTAAATCCTTATCGCTCCTCTGTATCATAGCTTCTCGCGTACCATAGGCTGTTCAGTCCAGAACACAAACACTATCCATCGCTATATGAATCCTCTATTTCAGATATATATAGTTTATATAGAAGCAGGCCACGTCACACCATTTATTGAAAAATAATAATCAAACAAGAACAAGATAAAAGTGGTCGTATGTAAGGGAGATTGTAGCTAATAGATTGGGAATAAATCAAGAATGGTAAGTCGAACAGTAGTAGGCAGTAGACCGAATGAAAGCTTATGATAAAATGATTATATACAGCGAGACTATAATTTATGGATGAGCTAATCAGAAGCGTTTAACGGATTTCAAGGTCACGGCGCCAATTTTAATACCTGAAGCTCATGCACTATCGGTTCAAAGAGGATTTTAGAGAAGACTGGACAATTAAGTGGCTACAATAAATGGGACTACTAAGAAGTCTCATTATTTGTAATTGCGGTAATCGATTGACTTGTAGACCTAGTGCAGACTACCCTGATGATTTTATCCTTCGATTTAATATGTGTTAGAGGAAGAACTCGGCTAGAATAGGAACCTTTTTCTCTCGATCCAGATTGAGACTCAGGCAAATCATAATAACTGCTGCGAACTGTATAATAAAAGGACCAGTATTACTGGCTGAAATATTGGCAGATGTTACTTATGCTTGAGCTGTTCAGAGGTATGAGTATTGTAGAGATATGTACGTAATAAAAAAAAGACAAAATTACACAAGCGGAGTGCATACAAACAATATTGAATCTATGTGGTCGAGGTTGAGAGAGTTTTTGTGACCTTATCATGGCCTCAGAGACCTAGTATCATAGAGCCATATGGATGAATTCCTTTATCTTATGCATTACTAGTTTACAACCTTTGAACCTTTTTCTAACCTTGACAAGCTTTTTGACCATGTAAAAGAAGTGCATCCACTCTAATTCTTTGGTGTTGTATACTGACTGTTTCCTGATTGGCTAATATTTCTCAAGGTCACTTGAGATTGGTTCAAAGGTCGTCCATAAAGTATATTTTTGCCGTTACTATTCATTTATTCTTTATTTGAATATAACAAAAGCCAAAAACCAAATCGTCTTTATTACGAAAGAAGACCATTTCGGGAACTTTATTAAGGATCTCAAAATTCTTTACTTATAATATTATTCAAAAGCTTTAATCAAACACATTTGATTCAATGAAAGCAAAAATACACTATGTGATCACTGATTAGTGATCATTGTCATGTTCGTCACCACATGTCTCAGTGGCTCGAAACCACATGCACGGTACTGAGATGTTAATTGGTCGAAATCAATCGACGAAATACTGTGAACTCAGGTTTCGTGCTAGTGTAGTGAACAGAACACTAGTTGGGGACAATCGAATGTATTTAAGCAAACATTACAGACTATCTCAGTAAATTCTGATAACCAAACAATGAACAGTCAATTTGCAAATTAACAACCAATTGTTTTAATCTTCACTGTTTCTTCTCTTATTCCATTGCTCATGCATTTTGCAAACGACTGCGCTTCATTTCAGTTCTTTGCTCATCGGTCTTCTTCCAAAATACATTCTATGTCTGACCAACACCATATACTACTTATATGGATATAAGTAGACCACACCACACTAGTTAGAACCTTTTAACAATAAGTTAGTGAAGTATTGAAGGAACTAAACATTCATATGGAATTAAAAGATAACATTAGTTACTGCTCCGTTGTCATTTGGTTACAAAATTTCAATCTTACAAAAATTTAGTTTGGATCAGAATGGCACAGAGACAACGTCTCAGACTATCAACCTGGGTGACCTAGATTAACATCTAATAGATAGCATCAGCTTCCTCAAAACCTCAGACATCGCTTAATGACGAGTGTCGACTAGCACAAAAATATATATTCAGTGATTCTTGCCGTTTACATCCAACCGCCTAGAAATGAAACGTTATTTACCAAATACATTGTATCAACTCAGAGTAGAACTATAATGAACAAAGTGGATGACACATTCATCTACGTATACATGAACACAGATAAGCAACGAAGAGATATCATATTTTACCACATATCAATGTATCCGTAATCAACAGGCACACTGTTATAAAATTAAGTTTATCACTCTATTTGTGGAAAATCAACCGATCACAAGATTATGGATGAACCAAATAAAATGATCAACGAAGTTGACAAAAAATTTCAAAAGTCAACCTGTAGGAAAATCATCAGAATGGACTGACATTTTCCTTTTGGAATAATCAGAAAACTCACTCCTATATAAAAGAAGTACATGGAATGTTATCGAAAGTGACAACGAAATCTTCATGAATCAAACATTGCCATATAAGAATACACAAACTTTATATAAATTTAGAAATATGATGTTTGTGTTTAAGTTATAAGACAACCAGACATTGTACAAAAATAAATCCAACTGTCACAATTGATCGATCACTGGGTGGTGATCATTGTCATTCGTGTCAAGTCCTTCTTAGTGCTGATCGAAGGCTATCGATCAAGTTGCAATGTGGCCACTAGTCTATGTGGCTCGACACTGCGTATACTATGTTGAGATAAGATGGTGGCTGAAGGTGATCAACAGGAAACCCTTGACCCAGGTTTCGTGCTACTTGGCACTCGTCAGCAAGGTGTACCTGTAATCTTGAGGGAACTGTTGCTCCCCGTGTCACCCAGCTCCACAGTCAGAGACATAACCACTGAGCTATTCGGGCCACGACCGACCTCCTGTAGGACTGAGATATAATCACAATTGATCGATCACTGTCTGGTGATCAATGTCACGCTTGTCAATTCTTTTTTATTACTGATCGAATGCTATCGATCAAGTTCATGTTGAATAGTTTACCTCCCAACTTACTTAATTGTTTGATTTTAGGTATATGAATGAATTATACGCAAAATAAATAATCATAGGTTAATTAATATTCAATCTAATAGAAAGTTAAAACCATATTATTTTAATTACAATGAAAATATTACTTATGTTTTACATATGGCCTGATAATCCAGAGTTTAAACTGTCGTATGTTCATGGATATAAACCGTAGATGAATCCTAGAACAGGACAAATAAGCTGTATAGCAATTATTAATAATCAAAAATTATTTAGTTGACATTAATTCACGATGCAGATCTTTCATTCTGAGTAAGTCTAATTTCCAGTGAAGATACCATAGGTATTGTGGTTTGACAATACTTTACCAGTAACACCTTCTATAGTTGAATCGCGTCCACCCAGTAAAATCAAAAATCAGAAGTGAGGTGATTCAAAGATATATTTGATAATTTATCAATATATCGAGGAGTGACTGATTTAATCTGGCTACTCATCGAAGAAGATGTTGCGCACGCCATTCTAAAACATGATATGGTTTGGATGCATGATCGACAGCCTTCAGCTAAATGAGTCCATTCAAACTGATATGGTCAGCATCCAATGTTGAACACTTACAGACCTACTGATTTTGGAGATTTATTTACAGCTATACGAGAAAACTCCAAATTTAACATCGGCGAGACTAAACTATATGGACGAGCCAATCAGAAGCTTTCGTTGATTTTCAAGGTCACAGCGCTAAGTTCGGTACCTAACGCTTACATACGGTCGGTTTACAACGGATTTTAGAGAAGACGTGATAATTCAGCGTCTAAAAGAGAAGTGATCATAAGATTTTGGCGTGAAATTCAATTATCCATTTGGATAAATAGAGTTTTGGCATTATAGCTGATGTCAGTTCGTGATGAAAACCCTAAGTATAATTCCTAACTTTAACCATGAACCGCAAATCATGATTTGAATTCTTCACACAGGTTTATAGCCCTCATTTGGTCTTAGTTATTATGTTGACACTCTCAGGGTCACTCTAGCGTCGCTCAAACATCGTCCGTAAATTATAGTCTCACCCTTAACCCTAAACCCTGACCCTAAACCTTAACTCTAACCCTAAACCATACCAACATACCCACAACATTGAAGCTATGTGGTCTAGGCTAAAATAATATTTTGAGACCTTATCATGGTTCCAGAGGTCGACTACTATGGAGCCATATGAATGTGTTTCTGTACCGTATGGACTATGATTTTAGAACTTCTGAACTTTTATATCTAACCTTGATAAGTTTTTGACTCATGTAAAAGAACAGTATCCGCTTTAATTTTTTAGTTCTGTATATTATATTTTTTACTGTATACTGATTGTCTTCTGATTGACTAATATTTCTCAAGGTCATTTAAGATTCATTCAAAGGTCGTCCATATAATTTAGTATCAACTAAAAGTGAATACATCCCAAATTTGATATTCGTATATACAAATCAAAGCTGATCAAATTTTAGTCCAAATGATTAACAACTGGATAATTTGAATTATTTTAAGTTAAATGAAACATCTTATATACATAAATATATACCAATTTTCAGAAGGGGTTTTGTGGAGATTTTAGTATTTTTATAGAGTTGAGATCATGAGTCAATCAGGTGCTCACTAGTGACTGACTCCTTGAGGTATTTCCTGGAGTTCTAGTGAGAAGCAGTAACCGGTGGAGTTCAACCAGGTCTGTTGTGAGATAGGAACTCACTGATGACATTGGTGGTTTATCGGTTAAGGGCTTCGGCTCGAAACTGGTAGGTCCTGGGTTCGAATCCCGCGAGAGTGGGTTCGTGGACGCGCACTGCTGAGGAGTCCCATAATAGGACAAAACGGCCGTCCAGTGCTTCCAGGTTTTCCATGGTAGTCTAGCTTCAATTGACTCATGATCTCAACTCTATATAAATATATACAATTTACTTATTGACTTACAATAAATATTTAAATCAATATAACCCATTGAAGATATCAATAGTGGATCATCTGTTGAATCATTTTCTAGATGATTATTAACAATAGAAATTTGATTACTCCAACTTCTTAATGATGTCTGAGATGATAATGATACTATGGAATTCATGGTATTGACTATAGATTTCTTTATTTTAATTGATATTTGACAATAGATTCTACCTTTATGAAATATTCGATATGGTATAAATTGTATAATATGATATTTCAATTGACTATGTAATATTATTCGTTTTGAAGATGTCATAGATAATGAATTAATGGTATTATAATGATTGTTCATTGAATGAATAGTTGATAATGAACTTATATTGAACAATGTATCATTATGATTAGTAGTAGTAGTAGTAGTAGTAGTAGTATCTGACAGTTGAATAAAAAATCTGTGATTACAATAAAGAATCAATGAAAAAGATACAGATTGAAAGATTTAAATTAAATGGTTAGTTTATTGATAAAAATAATAATGCGGTCTTTTTTCATTAAACTAAACTAAAAAGAAAAAAAAACTGAATAATCTCATTTGGATAGAGTTTTGTTCTCTGAGCTAAATGGTTTAGTCTCATAAGTAGAAGTGAACTGTTCGAATTTTTTCACATGTGGTTCATACCTTGCCTTGTAGACCTCGATGTTAAAGTCAGTATTAAACAATCACGTTTCTGCTGTTGATGATGTCGTTCAGAATGATGATGAAAGCTTCATGATCAAACCATCCATTATAGAGAACAAAATTCTGCTGAAATCATCCATTTAAACTAAAAATTTACAATATCTTATCATCAAACCGATGGCTTATTTAAAATCTATAGACAACCTTCTTCATTATGGAAACATTCTAGATTTTGTTGACTGATAATAATGGGCGGCCTGCTTAAACATCTGGGCTACCTGTTTCCCGTCATCTATATATTTCAACAAGTTATCTAATATTGTTTGTTTTAATACATCATTATGGCTATTAAGCACACAACCTATCCTGGTGCGTTTCTGAAAACTGTACAACCTTTAGCTGTAAAAGTTACAAAAGGCCTAATCAGAGATGTTGTGTTTGCTGGGAACATGCAGCAAAAAGAATATACATTATTCATATGTCGATTGACTGAACTGTTGACATACAACTGGCGATCACTGAATGTTTAACATCAGGAGCAACGAAGAAATAAGAAACGTAAACATGTTGAAATACTTTATGCTGAGAATTTGATTTTATACCAAGTAGTATAATATTGAATAAAGCTAATAATAATAATAATTTTAAAGAAAATAACTAATTCAGTACTGATAATACAAGAAGTATAAAGTAATAAGCCATATTCTATGGAATTCCATTCATATCATTTATTTTATTTATTTATTTAAACATATCAATATTGGTACAAGGAGGCACCAGATATATATGCACCACACAATTTTCATTTGATTTATGTGAGAGCTGTGATACTAGCCGGGTGTTCAAATCGAAACAGGTGGTTTTCTTAAGAGACCACATCCGAAGTCTTTGACCTTATGATCTGATCCACATGATTGTGGAGCATCGTAAAAAGATGCAGTCTCATGGTAGTTGGTGATCAACAATTGATTCATACGTCATTCGTTCCCTTAGAATATTGGAGCCCATGTGCGCGATTGGTTTGAGATCAGGGTTATCCAACTCACCTAAATGGATAATAGGACCGAAAAGTGATCTAGACTGCTCGCACGGCTTTTGTGTATCAGTGCGCTGATTGATAATTCACTCCTCTATGATTGGCGGGAATCATCACGTTATATATTAACAGGTCACAGAAGCACACAATATATCAATTCAACTACTTATAATTATTCTTATCAGTAGTGAGTATATTGATAAGAAACAGTAATAGATAATTAATAACTTACGTATATTCATAATTTGCATTAATAGGCACATTAGATTTTTCATAAAAACATCCAAGTTGAACTGGTTGATTCTCAATTACGACTGTTGAATGTTTAATAGATGAAGTAAATATTGATTTTGGATTGGAATAAATTTCTATGTACACTTTATCAATATCTGAAATTAAAAAAAAGGAATTACAAAATGGACATCACTGAACAGACTAGAAGGGGAACCAGATTCATATGTACCACACCAGTCACTTGATTTGTGTGTGGGTTGTGATTCTGTCCGGGCGCCCAAACTAAAGCAGGTGGTTTACTTAGGAAACCACACTCGGAGCTTTCGACCTAATGGTCTAATTCACAATGCAATGGAGAAACGTGATGAGATACAGTCTCATGGCAGTCTTTGATCAACAATAGGTTCATACCCTAATTGCTCTCTCGGGATACTGGAGCCCATGTGCACCATTGGTTTGGAATAAAGGTTATTCATCTCTCCTAGGTGGGTCCTCCATATCCAACAACACAGTTAGATCACCGGACTCCAGTAACCTGAAGGAACAAATGGAGTATGAACCAATCGTTGGTCACCGGCTGCCGTGAGACTGCATCTCCTTACGTTTCTCCACTGCATTGTGAATTAGACCTTTAGGTCGAAGGCTCCGGGTGTGGCCTCTTAAGAAAACTACGTGCTTCGAGTTTTGCACCCGGACAGTATCACAACCCACACACAAATCATTGACTTGTGTGGCACATATGTATTCAGTGCCCCTTTGTACCAATATTTAGGGGTTCAAATAAATAAATTACCACTTTTAGTGGGCTAATACCTGACTTCAATTGGACTGTATGCTAATTGTTGTCGAAATGTACACACCGTCGACCCTCGTCTGTCCAGGATGTCATTGATCCAAATTTCTTGAATTTTACTTAAACATTACTAAACATACGTTAACAGCATTATTACTATTCTCCAAATGTTTTAAATAATCTGATGATATGATCATATTGTCCATTCTCTACTTCTACTACAACTGAATACAGTATCGTTTGAAGAAGCTTACAAACAGACTGGTCACCGAAATACTGCTTTATATCTCCTTCAGTGTTCAAATAAATTAAAATCTGGTTTGTATCTTGGTCGAACAGGACTTCTTTGTATATGAGTATTGTGTTTCATTAAGAGATTCTTTGAGTGACGAGAACACTCTTGGTAGTTACAATTATCAGTAATGAAAACAAATTAAAAATATTGTTATGTCAAATATTGATTCAACTACTCTAATATAAGCTTTTCAACATCCTTTGGGAATGAACAAATACTTCTGAGGTATCTATGGTGGTATTATGTTAAATGAATCGTTTAATGCCAACTAATGATTACCGTACAATACTATAATTATCACTGATATTAAGTATGAATGTTTAATCTTGAGTCTAATTGTATCTATCCACAATGGTTGTTAGAAACTAGATCTGTCAGTGATAGCTAATGACCCATTTACTGATGATGTATACATAGACGCAAAATGAATGTAACTTATGTCGAAATAATTAACTATTTAAACAACTTTCTACTCAACTACTTATCATATCTACTATATACGAACCTAAGTGAACAATACGAATCATTGCCTGTGTTTAAAACTCTGTTTATATAGATCAGAAGGGGTTTTGTGGAGATTTCAGTATTTTTCATAGTTAAAATCATGAGTCAGTTGAAGCTAGATCACCATGGAAAACCTGTAAGCACTAGACGACCGTTTTGTCCTATTATGGGACTCATCCATTATCCCACTTATTTATGTTTCCTATTATCTATGTAAATTTAACTGATGCAAAATAACCCTAAACTCATCATTATACACAAAGAAATTTTTCAAATTTGTAATTCTGCAATATTATCTAATATTCAATAAGTACACTATGTCCAACATCAACGGTTTTTCAAGCTTCAATAAATCTTCATATTTCAGCTTTTCATTCACAATGTAGATAGTTTTGTATAAATTTAGACATCCAAAGTTGCGATTCCCAGCTAAATATTCACACCAATATATGAAATTTACCCACTAAAAAAATGGGATAATGGTGACAAATGTTGGACTGAAGATACTTATAGCGGTAAATAAATCCCCGAAATCGAATAGCTCTGTAAGTCTTTGACATTTGATGTTGACCACATTCGTTTTAATGCATTCACCTAGCTCAAGTCACTCGGTCACGTATCCGCACCAAATCAAATGTGAGAACGCCGTGCTGAACCTCTTCTTCAGTTGTTAATGAGTTTAGATCAGTTTTTTCTTGATATATTGATAACCTATCAAATATATCTTCGGAACACCTCACTTCTGACTTGTGATTTCATTAGGTAGGTACAATTCACTTATAAAAGATGTTACTGGTTGAAGTGTTATCAAACTTCAAATACTTGTGGCATCTTCATACCAGCCCCCAAATGCCCTGGTACAGCCGAGAGTAGGGAAAGTCCGATCTCCCTCTTCGAATGCTCTCACATGGTAACGCGTATATAGACTCTACCAGGGAAGTCCTACTCACTGCCTTCTAGTGGCACCGGTGTTGTTCACGAAATTGAGAGGACGAAAAGCGAATGCCCGGCGCTTTAACCGGGTTGGTGGATACGGAAAGTCCACCAAAGAGAGTTGGATAACCCTGATCCCAAACCAATGGCACACATGGACTGGCTCCAGTATCCTGAAGGAACAAATGGTGTATGAATCAATCGTTCGTCACCGGCTACCATGGGACTGCATCTCCTCACGATGCTCCACTGACTTGTGGATCAAACCTTTAGGTCAAAGGCTCCAAGTGTGGTCCCCTAAGAAAATCACCCGCTTCAGTTTGGGCACCTGGGCAGTATCACAGCCCTCACACAAATCAACTGCGATTTGTGTGACGCATATTTATTCGGTGTCCCTTTGTACCATTATTTATGGGTTCAAATAAATAAATAATCTTCATACTCATCAAACATTAAAAATTTGATTAATAACTGAAACCATAAAACAATATTTATCTTAACTTACATAAAAGATTCATAGTGATTATATTAGATCTGAATGGTATATTTCCATATGTATCATTCAAATGTATATGATGTTTGAGATGAGAAGTTCTGTTCGATTGCATAATATTTACATTATTATTATTATTATTATTATTACGTAACATGTAATCATGTTGATTATGTAATGAACACATAATTGGTATTTGATTCATTTGTATTCTATGAAATGTAAGACTTAAAATAGACCAAGTTTTAAATCTAAAAATTGTAAAATTGTAAAATATATAAAGTATATTAAGGTGGATTATGGTTTTTTTAAAATACATTTACTTGATTATTTACTTACGCCTGTTACACCTCGTGGAGGAGCATAGGCCGCCGATTAGCATTCTCTATCCAACTCTGTCCTGTGCAATCCTTTCCAGTGCTTTCCAGTTCACATTAATCCTTTTCATATCTGTTTCTATTTCCCGGCGTAATGTATTCTTTGGTCGTCCTCTTTTCCACTTCCCTTCAATATTCCAAGTTATGGATTGTCTCGTGACGCACATTAGTGATTTCCTTTATGTATGTCCAATCCACTTCAAACGTTTTTTCCTAATTTCCTCTTCAGTTGGAAGCTGGTTTGTTATCTCTCATAAAACGCTGTTGCTGATGTTATCCGGCCAATGGATGCTGAACATTTTGCATAGACAACTGTTTATAATTAATTGTACCTTCTTGACGATGGATGTAGTAGTGCTCCATGTTTCAGCAGTGGAATCCAGTTTTACGCTCGTCTCAAATAGGACGAAACACTCGTCCTGAACTTCACCACTAGCCGCTATCCATCTTTGCTTATCATCATCATCATCATCATCATCATCATCATCATCATCATCATCATCATCATCATCATCATCATCGTCATCATCATCATCATCATCATCATCATCATCATCATCATCATCATCATCATCATCATCATCATCATCATCATCATCATCATCATCATCATCATCATCATCATCATCATCATCATCATCATCATCATCATCATCATCATCATCATCATCATCATCATCATCATCATCATCATCATCATCACCACCACCACCACCATCATCAACATCATCCAAATCATCATCATCATCATCATCATCATCATCATCATCATCATCATCATCATCATCATCATCCGAATCATCATCATCATCATCATCATCATCATCATCATCATCCGAATCATCATCATCATCATCATCATCATCATCATCATCATCATCATCATCATCATCATCATCATCATCATCATCATCATCATCATCATCATCATCATCATCATCATCATCATCATCATCATCATCATCATCATCATCATCATCATCATCATCATCATCATCATCATCATCATCATCATCATCATCATCATCATCATCATCATCATCATCATCATCATCATCAACATCAATCAATCAATCAAACTTCAATTCTCTTGTATGCTCCAAAATCAGTAGTTCATATTAAAAAGTAAAAAGAAATATAAAAAGTTGATCACTTACAGTTGAATACCTGAAGGCATATCATTGATTTGAATAAATTCAATCAATTGTCCAGTATAAAAGGAATGATCAAATATCACTGAAGTTTGTGTTTTATTTATAATATGACATCCATATTGTAAATCACAAAATTTCATATTTAACCAAGTTAATAATTCTTTTCTTTTCTGAAAACAATCATTTATATGTTGACATGGTGATGATAATGACGATGATCTGAGTGATGACGATGATGATGATCTGAATGGTGACGATGATGACGATGACGACGACGATGATCTGAATGGTGATGATGATGATGATGATGATGATGATGATGATGATGATGATGATGATGATGATGATGATGATGATGATGATGAGTTTGTTACATCATCATCATCTGTTCTCTTTTCATTTTGAACTTGATCTAATATTTTATCATTTATAAACCATAATAATTGTCCTAATGGTTTACTCCATGATGATGTACTACATATTAATTGAATGGTTTGATTTAAATGAATCCATATTGATTGATTGTTTAAATGATCATTTAATTGATTATTATAATCAAAGAAAAATTTAAATTTTGAATTTTCATATAATAAGATATTTAAATGAATCGATTTTGGCGGTACTAGAGAAAAGAAAAAAAAAGAAGAAAATTCGGAGGATAAAATAGTAAGATAATTGATTGAAGTCAAATTACTTACCTACTTACTTACGACTGTTATCCATTGTGGAGGAGCATACACCACTCACTATCACTCTCTATCTAATCTTGTCTTGGGCAATTCTTTCAAGTTCTTATCAGTTACTGCTTATCCTTTTTATATTTGTTTCTATTTCATGGAGTAATGTGTTCTTTGGCCTCCTTCTTTTCTACTTCCCGTCAGGATTCCACGTTAGGGATTGCCTTGTGATGCATGATGATGATTTCCTCAATGTGTTGTATCGTATACACTTTCAACGTCTTTTCCTAATTTCCTCTTCAACTTGAGGCTGGTTTGTCCACTCTCACAGAAGGCTGTTACTGATGGTATCCGGCCAGTGAATGTTGAGTATTTTGCGTAGACAATTGTACATAAATACTTGTACCTTCTTGAAGATGGTTTCTGTAGTTCTTTATGTTTCACCTCCGTTCATTAGGATTGTCTTGATGTTCGTATCGAAGAATCTCACTTTGATATTTGGTGACATTTGTTTTAAGTTTCATATGTTATTCTTCTTATGAAGTCAAAGCAATTACTATTTATTGTATGATAGTAATTAACTTCTCAGTCTCAAGGTTATCAGTGTAAGGTGATGAAGATTGTTAAGATTTTGTTATTGAGATCATGAATCGATGAATGTCATACCACCATTGAAAACCTAATGATTAAGATTTTGCACACGAGACCGAAGATCCTGAATTCAAATCCTGCATTTGAGATCGTGGATGAGCACTATCGAGGATTTTGAAGGTTATTGGATTTAACTTTCAACTAACATTTCATACAGATTTTTAAACTTTTTCTATTTTAGTTTAGATGACAGAAAATGCTTACTAGCTATCACATAATAAGTGTTAATATAAATTGAGCAAGTAGATTTACATTTGGTAAATAACTCACATACTAACAATAATATCTACCACTATAATGGACATTTCCGTAAACAATAGACATTAGTTAGAAGACAATTGACTACTGTATCCCATGCTTCCCTCCAGATGTTGACGTCTCCATGATCCAGTCGATCACCAGAAGAAAGAGAGAATTGGTGAGAGTGAGAAACCTTGCCTAACACTGGTCTTTACCCCGAATGAGTCAGTAAGTTGTCCTCCATGAATAATTTGGCATTTTAATCCATCATAAGAATTCCTTATGATATTGATTATCTTCTCAGGTACGACGTAAAGTTGAAGAAGCCTCTTCAGTTTTATTAATAAAATAGGTATATTTGATATTAACTTTATAAACGGATACCTAATCTTAATAAATGTGAACTAATATTAGTTAACTTGACTTCATTAAAAAGTATTTTTGATACATATATCTCTAGGATATTTCCATTCTCCATTATTATCTTCATAAAGAACATATCAAATAAACACTAATGTCATTTAATGGAGTTTATGACATTAATGCAAGTTAATACATTTGAGATTCCTTTAGGCAAATAAACTTGATACATTTTCTATGAGGTAAGATAATCATATTATCTAATAGATTTGAACTAGATTGACCTTATCTCATCACATTGTCTATCCACCTTAGAGAACAAAATTTCATCAAAATTGTCTATGTGTTGTATTATGGTATGGAAGTTGATGTGAACTTGTGTGAGTGTAAACCAATCGAATGAACTTCATCGCATCAATGCAAACATCGAATTACATAATTTCACATTCATCCAGATTAGCTGAATAATAACATAACACCTATCAACCTAATTCTGTTTGACCCAGTTAGACAAGTAAATAATGTTTTCATTACACATGAGAATAACATAATTATAGAAGGGGTTTTGTGGAGATTTAGTATTTATCATTGTTGAAAGCGTGAGTCAATTGAAGCTAGACCACCATGGAAAACCTGGAAGCACTGGATGGCCGTTTCGTCCTATTGTGGGACTCCTCAGTTACAGTGCACATCCATGATCCCGACTCACTAGATTCGAACCCAGGACCTATCTGTCTCACGAGCGAGCGCTTAACCAATAGACAACTGAGCCGGTATCCAACGGTGAATGATTAGATTTAAGGCAACAATTCGGAAATAACTAATCATAGATACAACAATGATCCATTCATTATTTTACTAATAACTTACCAATAACATTTAAATATGCTGTATTACTTTTAATTAAACTCATTGGTAAATTATATAAATCATAAATCGATAAATCAATATTATTAGTGAAATTTGATTTGATTGATTTCTGATCAATTATTGATTGATTCATAAAATGATCAAAATAATCTGATCTATTTTGATAAGAATTTGTTTTTTTTACTAATCTAGCTTGACATGCATATTCACCTTCATCTTCAAAACGTATATTTTGAATCATTAAATCATATACATCTATAATAAAAAAAATATATAAATAAATAAGAATGATGTAAGATTCTCCTTGATAACTGAATCAGTGTTAAGAAAGTTGATGAATACATGAAGAATACAAGATTAACGAACAAAACAGATATAAGCAAAGATAGATAGTGGCTAACAGTGGAATCCAGTTTGACGCGCGTTTCATTCCATTTAGAACTCATCAGCTGCACGCACTTGCATCTCAGAGTTGATATTTTATTCTGAGACTCGAACCCTATACCATTTACTTCGAACTCCATCGCGTTATCCACTCAGCTACTGAGTAATGATGCAGGTACATCCAGCTGATGAGTCCTGAATGTGACGAAACGCGCGTCAAACTGGATTCTGCTGGTAGCTACTATCCATTTTTACTGATAATGCTATATTCCGACAATACTCACAGGATGGACATATGGCCAATAAGAGATTGATCAATTGTAGTCTTAACAGATCAATGGGATGATTCAAATAAACAATATTAAGTGAATTTAAACTTCACGTCATCGCACAAGCAAGTGGCTATCAGGACTCAGTAACTGAGTGGATAACGCGATGACATTTGAAGCGAACAGTACTGGGTTTGAGTCCCAGAGTGAACATCAACTCTGAGATGCAGGTACATCCGGCTGACGAGTTCCAAATAGGACGAAACGCTCGTTAAACTTGATTCCACTGCTAGCTACTATTCATCTTTGTTTACCATGCTTGTGACTTAGGGCTATATCGAGGCAATGCGCACAGTATTCACATATGCCAATAAGAGACTTATCAATTACAGTTCTAAACATCAATGGGAAGCTTTAAACAAAAGAAGGAATCAACTGATAAACATATACAGCATAGTAATTTGCTATACAAAAATTGGATGAATTATGAATAAAACTTATACATATAAGATATTGGCCACACTGTTCATCAGTTGATAGTCAAGTAAATTCAACCTGAACTAAAGTTCAACTCAGTTTTAGTGAAATGTAGCTATCACTGCAATTTAAGATGAGTTTTTTGTCATATTTAGGACCAGCCAGTTAGATGTACTTGATCTTAGAGTTGATATTTAGTCCAGCTGTCAAGTCCTAAGCAGAACGTAACTCTGATTTCGGGTTCTACCACAAGTCACATCTTATTTATTTAATACCTAACTTGTATCATAATGGTTTTATCAAGGCAATCTTTACAGGATACACATATGCCCAAAAGGACTGTTGAAGTTTCAATCAAAATATCAACGAAAAAATAATTCAAACCATTACAGTGGTTAGTATTAAAAGGATGATCTAACTGATTATTACAGATCGTTTATGAGCACAACTTGTCGTCGACATAAATTTGATTGCTAACCATACAATTTCTACATTATCAGTACTTCTTATCACGGTCATCCCATTCCGGTATTTTACTAACAATATCAATAACAATAGCACATTAGACTCTATTCTAACATTAGGTTCACCCACTTAACTCTTCCCTTCACTTAACCCTTCCATCATCAATACCATAATCCTGAAAGCATCCATCAAAAACGTATATCATATTATTTGTAAACGAGAAAGCATTATATATGTGTATATCTGTTTTCCTTGCCTCTCCCCAACATTTTCTCGGCAAAAGATCTTATTAAAGTTGGATAGTGGCTTGTTATAGAATCCACGATATCTATTCCGTCCCATTTGATACTCATTATACAGTTATTCTGTGTTACAGTGTTATTATTCACATTGAGATTAAAACCAAATATCATTCATTTCCAACGTCAACGTATTATCCACTAAGCTACTTGGTTCAAACAGTTACCGGTTTATAAATCCTTTACCTCTGACTTACTGGTAATATTAAGGTAATCCTCTCAGAATGATCGTCATCATCAATAATAATCGACACTTACTTACTTACTTACGCCTGTTACTCCCAATGGAGAATAAGCCGCCGACCAGCATTTTCCAACCTACTCTGTCCTGGGCAAGAATCGACACACTGTATTCTTAACGATGTACATGCTCATTCAATGCAATCATTCTAATCACATATATCAATGGTTTAAACTAAGTAAAACAGTTATGTACCTACTTTTTCATTATTCATCTAGTCCCAACACATTCACACACACACACACTGACATATTTACTTACAAATAGTAAACACTAACAAGCTTTACAATCTGGTATAATGTAAATAAGCATATATATATATATATATATATGTCAATACTGTTATTATCGTAATCATCTGTACTATTGCTTGTTCCATTCCTTCTTTATCCTCCTTATCTTCTGATCGTTTTTCCTACCTACCGGAATTTTTATTTTTATTTGTTTGAAATCTCAAAAAAGAAAAATCCTCAAAAGAAATAGTATTGTTTGTTCCGGTTAAAGTTTTTCTTCATTTGTTGTCTTCTCCAATTTCAGATAAATTTGTTTTTCATAGTTGAAAACGTGAGTCAATTGAAGTTAGACCATCAGGGAAAACCTGGAAGCATTGGAATATCATTTTATCCTATTGTGGAACTCTTCAACAGTGCACATCCACGACCTCACCTCACGAGATTCGAATCCAGGACCTACCAGTCTCGCGCCATAGCACCTAACCGGCATCTCATGGTGTTTATCACTAACTCCGACCTATCAACGAAGTTGAGCAACCACTCACCAATTTTCTTCAGTGAGTTCGTATCTCACAACAGACGTGGTTTGAACTACAATGGTCACGAAACGGCCGTCCAGTGCTTTCAGGTTTTCCCTGGTGGTCAAGTTTCAAATCAATCACGCTTTAAACTATGAAAATACAAAATCTCCACAAAAGTTCCTTCTGATAAATTTGTTTTTAATAGTTGAGATCATCAGTTTGTTTTATGTGAAAATTAACTTTTGAGCTTAATAGTATAACATGCTTGTGAATTTGAAAAGGAGAGTTGAAGAAGATATCACACTTTTAAGATCATTTGTTAAGATTCTTCTGATAATAATTATATGCTCACTAGTGACTAACTTCAAGAGATATTTCCTGGAGTTCTAGTGAGAAGCAGTGACCAGTGGATTTAAACCAAGTCTGTTGTGAGACATCAACTCACTGAAGGCAGTGGTAAACGGTTGCTTCACTTCGTGGATCGATTGAAGTTAGACATTAACACCGTTGAATGTAGACCAGCTTAGTGGTTTAGAGGTTAGGCGCTCGCGAGCGAGACTGGTAGGTCCTGGGTTCGAATCTTGCGAGACGGGATCAGGGATGAGCACTGCCAAGGAGGAGTCCCACGATAGGATGAAATGGCAGTCCAGTGCTTCTTGGTTTTCCATGGTGGTCTAGCTTCAATTGAATTTTTGATAGAGGGTTTCAACCCTAACTGTGTCAGATGTGGTTTTTCTCAAAATGACTCTAAAATTTACTACATAAAATTGAAAGGGAGACTTGATTTTAGTCGAGCCAATAATGGGTTTTTATTTGTAATATTCATCAATCAGATACCACCTAGAAATGCTTAGGGAGTTTATTTGATGTGGTCAAAGGCAATAAAGAAGAACTTTCAGTTCACTTAGACTGTGTGTTGTTTTAAAATACCTACAGTTATGTTCCATATGGAATTCTAAATCTGATCATCCAGTCTCATAGTCAGAGGAGATACTACCGAGATAATCAGATTGTCTGTGCAAGTGAGATAATTACGCCAATGTTATGTTTGTTTATTCATTAGAGCTCAGACAATTCGCAACATACTTAGTTGTGTAATTCCTAATGGAAAGCTATACAGATTCTAATCTCATAACCACTGTTATTACCCTCAAGATTAGAAATGTATCTTTTTGATCATTGTCAACTAACACGAAGCCTACGTTTATAGGATCCTCTGAATTGCTTTCTATCGCCGAAGAATAAACTTTATAGTATGTAACAACAAGACTGTTTGTGATACTACAATAAAAACATTAAACAAACATGATTCAGGTAATCAGTAATCAGTCAGTTTACATATGGAATTATCGAAATCATGGTATACATTTATTTGTAAATAAAATAAATTTATCAGTTGACTACTAAGATTGACCGCTTATAACCTTGAACGATATTGTTACATTGTAAGTATATCTATAGATCATAGATGGATAGTGGCTAGCAGTGAAATCGAGGACACGCGTTTCGTCCCATTTGGGACTCGTCAGCTAGATGTATCTGCATCTCTGATGTTCACCCTGGGACTCAAACTCAGTACCTTTCGCTTCAAACGCCATCGTGTTATCCACTCGCGTTCTGGATTCCACTGCTATCCACTATCCATCTTTACTTATAATGTTTGTCAATTAAGTCTATATCGAGGCAATACACACACGATGCACATATGCTAATAACACACTGATCAATTGCAATGCTTACCATCAATGGGAATATTCAAGCGAACAATACTAAGTGAATTTATATCTATATATATTTAGTAGCAGAGTAGTTTGACTGCGAAACGCATGGAAATATGATTGTTGGAAGTAGCAAGGTGAAATTATGTAATAATAGCGAAAAGATTGTACTGAGTAACACAGATGAACAATGAATAATGATGTATGATGATTATAGTGGAATTGACTCGCCTGAGCTTCAATCGAGAATTCAAGCACTCGACACAAAGAACATAGAAGAAATTATCATTAAGAAGAAACGTAACATAAATCAGCTCAGAGAATATAATTTCATCAACATCAACCCTCTGAGCAACAGATCTCTTTACAATCTCAATATATTGTAGTGTCGGTTACTATGTTTAGACCATATACCTTATTTTAGCTTGTGGATAGGCCCATTTGTCCATTCTTCTTGTGTCACGTTTCGACCTTGTTAATTATTCACTAATCAACCTTGACTGTTCGTATATGAGCGTATGTGTGTGCACATCTTTTCCCACTCATCAATGTCTGTGGCTTATCTTCGTGTGACTATAAATGCTGATTAACGCTTGATTAAATGGAGTTGGCTCACACACCTTCTCCACTGCATGTCACTTCGCTTCACTCTCATTTCTTCGCTTCATCCCTCTGATTGTCTGTCCAGATCAGTGAGTGTACAAAGTATATGTATTCGAAAATCTATTCTCGTATTCGATTTACTTATTTCCGCTATTCTCCAACGCGACTAAGTCGATGAAATTTCCAAGGATAGCCGACATATGTATCTCGACAGTAATCATTCAATAACAATTATTTATCCGCTCTCACTGGAGTCAGATATAAGATCACAAAAATATGATCACAGTTTGTAATGTGGGGTGAATGCCAAGTGAATTGCAATGTGACTGTTAAAAATCAATTAACTGGAAGAATGGCTTAAATATAATCAAAGTAATGAACGTTACATTTAAATGTCAACTTAAAAATCACCACTTGTTAAAATACAGTTCATTTTATGTTCAACTTAGAATTCACTCTTTGCTTCAATTACACATCTAAACAGTATGTCACCATATTGAAAACTGTAGTCAACTGGAAATTATTATCGAATAAGATGGTGGTTGCATGTGGTCAACAGGAAGCCCTGAACCCGGGTTTCGTGCTACTTGGCACTCATCAGTAAGGTGTACCTGTAATCTTGAGTGAACTGGTGCTTCCAGACGGATTTGATCCTATGTCACTCAGCTTCACAGTCAGAGACGTTACCACTGAGCTATTCGGGCCGCGGCCGACCTCCTGTAGGACTGAGATGTAATCACAATTGTTTGATTACTGGGTGGTGATCAATATCATGTGTGATCAATCATGATGTCATGAGATCAATCGATTGTGTTTATTATCGAATGAACTAAGTTAACAATGAAGATGAGTAAAATAAATATTTGAACAAAACAATCTACATATTAAGAGTGTATCGTGTGCCATCTGTAATGACTAACCTTGTTCCTCCGATTCAACAAGTGTATATCTTCCATTAAATGTTTGTCTCAATGTATCTTGATCATAACCAAAGCCATCTTTCATCCATTGAACAATGATTTTCAACTTATCAGGTAATAAATATGGGTTGATAACTTGCCAAACTGTTGCTGGTGCGGTAGATGATGATGATGATGAAACTTCTGACAAGTAAGCTTCACTACTTAATTTACTATTCTGAGTGATTTGATAGTAATTCTCTTTAAGATCATTCTGAATCTGAAGTTGAACACGACATCTCAATAGTACAGTTGAATTAATCTGAGCATTCGTATGCATTGGACCATGTATTAAAAGATAGTGTTTTGATGCACTGATTGAAGCTACTGACATTTGTATAAGTAGTAAAGAAATGAGTAATGACAATAAAAATGTCAATTTAGGCCAACAGATATTTATAATTACGTAAGTAACCATTAATACGGAGAGTGCGAATCAATCATTATGAATTGAGTTATTATCTAGCAATATATCGGTGTCAGTCTTAAAAGACGTTAGTCATGGACTTCATAGCTGAACTACAACGTTATTTTACCATGACACAAAGGGACCGTTGTTTGAGCGATATATGAATAATCTGCACTTTCCCTATTTCATATAATTCCGATTGGCGAGTGTTACCTACGGAAGAATTTTTTTCAAGCTACATGCCAATGCCGCTCAACAATCTTACATCTTAGTCATTTATAACTTACCAAACAGATGGTTGATTGTAGTATATGCCTACCAGAAGTGACGGGGGCTGAACTTCATGTTCATCCTTAGTTTATGATAAACTAACCGTTATTTTACGGTAGATTGATTCATCTTTTTTGAAAGGAGCTTTATCATATATGATTCTACAAACCTATTAAGAAATCTTTCACATCGATTCGTCAGTCTTCATAATATTGAAGTCTGTAGGCACTTAGAACCGGATTAATTTCAATTCACTTAGTATTACTTGTTTGAATCATCCCATTGCTGTTTAGAACTGCAACTGGTCAGTCTCTGAGATGCAGGTAAATCCAGCTGACGAGTCTCGAATAGGACGAAACGCGCTTCCTGGATTCCACTGCTAGCAACTATCCGTCTTTGCTTACCAATAATAATACAGATACAATTTTTACAGGAATGGAACTACTAACAAACTTTTAAATGAGTGAATAGCAAAATATCACAGCATTCAATCTGTGTAGATTTCATTCCATTAAAATATAAACCAAAATATGTACTTCCATTGGATGAAACGCAAAGATAACTATGTGTAATACATCATCAAGTAGACTGATATTTGAAGACACGAAATATTGAATTATGATTCATTGGTTTATTTTCATAGTTGACATCTTAAGACTTAGATACTATGTTGAAAGCATGAGTCAATTGAAACTAGACCACCAAGGTAAACCTTGAAGCACTGGCGGGCCGTTTCGTCTTATTATAGGACTCGTCAGTAGTGCACATCCACGATTTCTCATCGTGAGATTCGAACCAAGGACGAAACGGCCGTCTGGTGCTTTCAGGTTAACCTTGGTGGTCTAGCTTCAATTGACTCATGCTTTCAACTATGAAAATACTAAATCTCCACATAACCCCTTCTGATTAGAGACTATGTGTTAAATATCGTATGAAGGAGAGCAGTTATTTATTCCCGAAATGGAGTGAAATATTCATCGTTCTATAGTTATCAAAATCCCTTTAGTTTGTATAAGTCAGTAATGGGAAAAAAAGGAACAAGAGATGAAAAATGCATACAGCTTTCGTGTATACTAGTTATACTTGTCAACATAAATAGTATATAACACCGATCGCAAGTGGAAAACAGGCTTACAATATATTTAATGTTTGGGGGTATTACAGCTGACCTACGAATAAATCTATTTGTGAACGGTTGAGTATTCCTATAATACAGACGTCCATCATACATTAACACGTCACCATTAATGATATACATGTTAATTTCGAAGATAGGACTTTTAAGATAACTTGACATTCTATATAGAAGTGAAATACTAAAAAGGAATAATTCTATCTCTATAGTAACGTGGAATCATCTTGAGGAATATATCATAGTTACCAAACTAGAAGCAGTGGTAAGTAATCCAGGTAGGAAACTATTACTGAGATTATCCACCAAAATAAGAGTTAATACTTTAGCACAAAAGCAAACAAGATAACTTGATTCCATCGTAACAGAATGACACACTAATTTACATTGTCTCTTCAGTTAAAATTATCCAAACGTAAGATATCTGTGCCAATTTTACAATAATTCCAATTTATCAGTATGGAGATTTGTGGAGATTTTAGTGTTTCAACAGTTGAATTCATGAATCAATGAAAGCTAGACCATCAACTAAAACCTGGAAGCACTGGATGCCCGCTTAGTCTAAGTATGAGACTCCCCAAAAGTGTGCATTCATGTGTTCATTCGTGTAGGGTGTGAGAGAGTTATCCATCCTATACAATGGATGAAGTGTTAGGTTAGATCCTGGATCGATCGAATTTAGACATAAACAGTGTTGAATACCGACTCAGTGGTCTAAAAGTTAATTGTCCATTTGTGAAACAGATAGTCCTGTCTTCAAGTCACAAGTTCAGGATCGTGGAAGTACATCGTTTCAGTTTTTCCGTATCATGATCTCTTTCCTTATTTTAACTCAAATTATTCTAAACGTTTCTGATATCAAGTTTGTACATTGATTTCATCCTAATAATTAATACTACTGGCTTTCAGTTATAAGCAGCTATGGAGAACTCGCATTATCAATAAATTCATATTATTCTGCTAAGATATTTGTTCTTTCATTATGTAAATTCTGGTCTATACTATACTATTGTAATTGTAAAATCTAACTTGATAAATTTTAATTGTTTCTATGTCATACACCCAAAGGAGTTTTTTGTGGAAATTTACTATTTTCATAGTTGAAAGCGTGAGTCAATTGAATCTAGACAACCAAGGAAAACCTGAAAGCATTGGACAACCGTTTCGTTCTATTGTGGGACTCCTCAGTGACAGTACGCATCCACGACCTCGCCTCACGAGATTCAAACCCAGGACCTACCAGTCTCGCTCCAGAGAACTTAACCGATAGACCACAGAACCAGCATCCATTGGTGTTTATGTCTAACTTCAAACAATCCACGAAGTTGAGCAACCGTTCATTCATCATTGTTCATAAATTACCCTTCAATTAATCAATAAGGTCATGGTAACTAAATCAAAAAGTGTGATAAGGATTCATATAAGACAAAGAAAAAAAAGAAGGTTTACATATAACACAGAGATGAAGATTTTATGGTACAGTCAATCGCAAACCCCTTAATTTTCATTTACTCTTTTATTACCTTGATCAATTCTTAAGTATGAATCATGACTGTTTCCTAATATCAAATCAGTTACTGAGTTAAGTGAATATTGATGAGCTATCGTTTTTTTTGTATTTTTTGTACTTCATCTCATGAGTATTAAAGTATATTCAGCAATAGCTTCAACTCATCATTCACTGACCTGTTGAGTTGACAGTTTGAGTAAATTTTTAGAATATTAGGGTAAGCTTTTGATCATTTAACTTAGACAATAATCATTGTTAACAAACACTAATTTTTTAGCAAAGATGGATGTTGACTAGCAGTGAAGTCCAGGACGCACTTTTAGTTTTATTTGGCTATCAGGACTCAGTAACTAAATGGATAACACGATGAAGTTTAAAGTGAATGGTATCAGTTTTAAGTGCTGAAGACAACATGAACTCTGAAACGCAGATACATTCAGCTAAAGAGTCTCAAATAGAATAAAACGTGCATCCTGAACTCCATTGGTAGATTATTCTCATCTTTGTTTATAATACTTGTGATTTAATTGAGGCAATCTGCACAACATACACACATGATCAATTGAAGTCCTAAAAATCAATGGCAAGATTCGAACAAACAATATGTAATGCATCGAAGATATATTGTTGCTATATCATAGGAAACTTCATGATAGAAAACCAGAGAGATTGAGAGAGAGGGGAGGGGCGTTGTACTCATCAATATCCCCTTGCTTATATGTGATAATCTTAACCAGGTTATAATGAAATAGATTTAAAGACTTTTCCCTGGAAACTAACAATCTAAGTTAAACACTAAATTATGTAGTTAATCATCTGTGAAGAGAAATCTTTCATTAATTATTATTCTACATTAGATTTACATAGAGTGTATGCTTCAATAACCATATTATACAATGAAGAGTATGCAAGTCTCTGTGTTGATATGTTTTATAAAAAAATGAAAAAACAGAATCATAAACTGAAGCAACTCCCTTTGAGAAATAAAGTTCTACAGAGTTTTTGGTTGTCATGTTGAATGACTTATGAATAAGTAACTAACTGACTTCATTTAGTATTGCATGTTTGAATCTTCTGATCCATATGTTTATACAGCAACTGGTCAATCTCTAATTGGCATATGTGCATACTGTGCGCATTGCCTCAATATAGCCTTAATTCACAAGCATTTTAAGCAAAGATGGATAGTGGCTAGCATTGAAATCCAGGACGCGTGTTTCGTCCAATTTGGCACTCGTCGGGTGCAAGTGCCTGCATCTCAGAACTGATGTTCACGCTGGGAAGACTTAAACAAACAATACTAAGTGAATTTAAACTGCCCCCTATTGCACAAGCAAGTGGCTATCAGGACTCAGTAGTTGAGTGGATAACGCGATGGCGTTTGAAGCGAAAGGTATTGAGTTTGAGTCCCAGAGGGAACATCAACTCTGAGATGTGGCAGGTACATCCAGCTGACGATTTCCGAATACGACGAAACGCGCATCAAACTCTATTGCACTGCTAGCCACTATCCATCTTTGCTTAACTAACTGACTATTCAGAACTGAACCATCTTTATACACACTGTAGAATGATCAAGTAGATTTAATGAATAACACATCATATATAATTATCAGATGAGTTCTACAAAATAAACGACACAAATTCATTCACTTAGTATTGCATGTTTGAATCTTTCCATTGATGTTTAGGACTGTAACTGGTCAGTCTCCTATTGGTATATGTGCATATTGTGCGTATTGCCTCGATATAGCCTTATTTCCCAAGCATTGGAGCGAAAGGTACTGAGTTCGAGTCCCAGAGTGAACATCAACTCTGAGATGTGGCAGGTACATCCAGCTGACGAGCCCCGAATAGGACGAAGCGCGCGTCAAACTGGATTACACTGCTAGCCACTATCCATCTTCGCTTACAACATAAATTCATGTCTAATTTAATGTGTTTCAGTAAAAGAACATTTATTTTAATGAATTAGAATTATACTATTGAATAATGATTGAGTAGTG